GTTGACTATTATAGAAGCTAAAAGGAAGGAGGAATTTATCAGCTCTCCCAATTCCATGTACTGTAGCTTAGAATATATCAGCTTGTCTCCTGTTTTGACGGTGGATAAGGAATTAGGAGTACTTGAAATGTGGTACCATACCCACCAGGATAAATGCTACTATGAGGTAGGGCCTTTTGGTTCCTGCCTCAAAATCAGTATCTGCAGATTAAGCCTTTAGACTCTAAGCCAGCTGGTGTCAAGGGAGTGGCTGTGCTACTTCTGCCCCAACTTTGGACAGTCAGTGGAACAGGATTCCAGCTCCTGAAGGGTAGGCAGGCAAGCTCAGGGCTGTGCCTGAGCTCAGTGTTGAATGTGCAGAAGTGTCATCTGTGGAAGAAATAGCCCCGCAGTCTGTCTCTCCAGGCCAGTCTTCACAGGCTCATATTCTAGCATCAGTTGTAGCATAGGATGGGATGCTGTTCTAGCAATGAAAGGCCAGCAGCATAATAAAGTTGGAATTGCCATAAAGCACAATCTGGGGCGCCATCTAGTGCTGAAAGAGCAGAAGTGTTCTCAGGATCAGAGAAAATAAACAGCCTAGACTTGCTAGGGCACATAAATACAAGGTGTTACTGAAGTGGGAATTTTTTCCAGTTCATCAGAGTACAGATGATAAAACATAACATTAAGTATCAAGAGCTAACAATATCCAGGTGTCAAAAACTCATTAGACAGTAACTAATACCTACAAATTCTGAGATTCAAAATTTGAAATAACTTTTAAAGTAACTCAGTGAATTTTAGGGAAACTATTAGTAGTTTAACAGAGAAACTTAAATAGATGGAAACTTTTTTAAAAAATCAGATTTCTGGGCGGATAAGTACACTAAATGAAACTAAAAATGATAGAAGTCATTAGAAGCAAAAAAGAACAAGCTAGAGAAAAGAATTAGCTTGGAGGAGGCCTGCGAGAAAATGTCTGGAGAAGACAAAATGAGAAATTGATTGAAGAGAAATAGAATACTATAGGAACTTTGGGCAAGAAAAGCAACAGTGGAAGAGGAGTAAAGAAGCCTGGCAATTCTGAGGCAGCATTATTTAGAGAGCAAATGTGTGATTTAGGAGAGGACTCAACAGAAATGTAAAAAGGCCATAACATAGAAAAAGTGTTCAAAGATAGTACTGAAAACTTTCTTAATCTAGAGAAAGGTAGGACTGTCCACAAACAGGAATATCAAAGGTAACTGATCAGGTATGACTCAGTTAACTCTACCCCAAGGCATATTGTGATCAAACTTGCTATGAGGAACACTACAGCGAAGTTGCAAAGCTAGAAGTGAGAAGATGCAGAAAGAAGCAAATTATAACTGTTCTGATTTGCCCTGCTCCAGATCTTTATAGACTAGGATAGAATTGGATGAAGTTTACCTAAAACAAAAACGGCTAACCAAGAATACTGTGTTCAGCATAGCTGTGTTTTGTATAAGAACAGGTGTAATAGGTAGTTTCAGAGAAGTGAAAGTTTTATGAATTTATCACCACCAGAGCTTGCATATACACAACAAGTGGTCAATGGAGTGTTTTTTTAAACTTGGAAAATTACATTATCAAGTAAAAGAAAATACCAGAAGTTAGAAAAAAATTCAGAATAGATTGCCTAGGTATAATCTGATGTAGCAGTAGTGCTGAAGAGATATAAGTACAGTGTTTTTCATAACTTTTTATAAATATTGCCAGGAAAATATATACATGTGGAACTTTGAAATTATAATCCTGCCTTTCACCATACACAAAACAATGTAAAATTGATTAAAAGTCTAAATATAAGATATGAAACTAGTAGAGAAAAAAAAACATGATGGACTCCCAGTAAAACTGTTGGGGATGTATCTAGACAATGGGGTGCTGGACTGTCTGATGTTGTCTGTACCAACAATGTCGGGGCACACTTAAATAACAGACTGATGGAATCAAAACTCCTTATGAAGGGCTAACTATACTATTGTAACAATATGGGGAAAATCAGCTGGTGCATGGGAATTTGGAGTGGAGGGAATCCCAGACTCTATGGAACTGTACCATAAAATTCAAAATTCAGAAAAAAACAAAAACAAGAAAGGCTTGAGGGCCTTGGTTTGGGTCGTGATTTTATAGATGAGATCCAAAAGCACAAGAAACAATGACAGTGGTAAACGTAAGGGATTAAACAAAAACTAAGAAGTTTAACAGTGGGAAGGAAAATTAGAGTGGAGAGGTAAACTATAGTTGGGAGGAAATAGTTGTAATTTGTATGTGTATGGATTAATAACCCAGATATAGCGGAAACTAAACGTAATAGGAAATACTTCAAGTAAGATGGACAGCTGGAAATAATCATTCTTAAAAGGAATAGAGACAGATGCTGAATGGGTACATGAAAAAAACATTCAACATCACTGGTTACAAGAGAAATTAAAATTGTACCCATTTTAGGTTTTCTCCTCAGTCTAGTTAGAAAGACTGTTATCAGAAAGACAATAGATAAGTGTTGGTGAAAAATGTATGAAAAGGGAAAATTGCAGTCTGTTGTTAGTAATGCAAACTAGTGAACTATTGTGAAAAATGAGGAGTTTTCCTAAAAATAAGAAAGCTAGACCAACCATACAATCTTGTGCTTCCTCTGTAGGTGATAGTCAAAGCACATGATGTCAAGTCTATCAGATATGTCTTCACGCTCATGTTTGTTGCAACACTATTCACCATAGCCATGAGATGCAGACAGCTTAAGTGCCCATCGGCTGATGAAAGGATAAAGAAAATTGGTACATATTTGAAAGTGAATAGTGTTTGAACATAAAAATGATAAAATTCTGATACTTGGAATAATATAGATGGGACTGGAGGTTTTAAAGTGAAAAAGCTTAGTCTCAGAAAGACAAGAACCATATGACATCATTCACGGAATCTAAAAACAGAGTGATTGCACAAAGCCTGAGAATGGAATGGTGCTTACCAGAGGCTTGGGTGAGTTGTGGGTGAGGTAGAAGCCAAAGCAGTTCATGTATGTGTTTACTCAGACATATCCTAGCAGTTGTTGGGCCCTGGCACTGTCTCTGGTGATAACTTGTACCCGTTGTTATTTCTTGTGTGCTATTTCTTTCATTTTTAGAATTTATTTCCAATTTTGGTTCAGTCCTCTGTTTGCAAGAGTAGAAATAAATGTATCTCTACTTAGAATGTACATATCACAAAAAGCAAAATTTCCTAATGAAAACACTCCCATTTCCATAAAAACTGATGAGTTGAATATATCTTTCATGTGCTAATATTGTTATGTTTTTCTATATTGTGCAATAACTTTAACTTTTTCTAGTTTTTTTGTAAAATTCAGTGTTTCATGTTGCATTATTTATTACGCTATGCTGAGCTGCTCAACTTGATCGTTAAGTGGTCTCAAGTTTTTTTTTCTTTTTTTTTACTTTTAAAAATTTCTTTTTTTTTCTCTTAAGTTACATTGTGGTGAGAGTTTGTGAAATATATCTAGATGTATGCCCAACTTGGAATATCCTGGAAGGAGTTCTGTCTGCTAGTTGAAAAAGGCTTTATTATATATGAGAGTTGGGTTTTTATCAAGGAGTATGTTAATCTAATTTGTGTTATACTAGGGAGATAGCAGACTGTTGCTTTATAAAGAAGTGAGGTTTATTTAATTCATAGTTGCAGAGGTTCAGGGGGCTACATCTGGTGATGGTTTTCTGGTTGTAAAATGTGAGATGGCACAGAGCATCATAGTGCAAGAGACAGAGAACATTCACATCTGGGGTTCTTTTTTGTCTTCTTTATACCGTAAGCAGTAAGGACTCATAGTATGGCACACTCTGATAATTTTATCCGGTCCTAAGAGTTACCACATGGCCTGCCTCTAACGCTGTGGGTATACCTCACAGCAGTGTATATGAATCTCCTTGGGGCCAGTGAAGTGATATTGTTATCCTGCCGCTTTAGTTGGGGCACTCTTAGAGGTGGCAGGCATGTTAATGTCTTATATCTTATGTATATGAGTGTCCGATCTTTGTTTTAACATCATGTTGTATTGGTTTCCAGACTGTCCTGTATTCATAATAAGCTATACTACGAGTGACATTTTGGGATTTTACCACATTGTATCTGATATTATGTTGTGAAACTCCTGATAGAAAGAATACAAGTTTAACCATTCATCTGATAGCACAGGGGTTTTGTTGTTGTTGTTGTTTATTTACTTTAAAGATGGTTTAACATGAATGAGATGGCCTCTTTAAGAAGCAAGAAATTTGGAAAATTCACTTCGATTTTGGTAATTAGCACACACATACACGAAGTGTTATGAAATCTGGTTATTACTCTTATTTAGAATGGTAACATATTTCTTGAAAAGACAAAATTCTTCATTAGTTTATGTATGGAAATTAAGGATTTCTAGTGGTGATCATAGATATTGTTACAGGCTCATGAGCAACAGAAACATCTGTGTTGGTGAATTAGTATTACCATTGTCATGTTCATTCTTAAAATATTCTGTAGTTGAATTCATTTGGGAAAGATAAATAATCTTTTATAATTTTTAGGCAGGCTATTGGGTGAAAAACATGTAATTATTCTCTTTGTAAGCGAGCTGTAGAATTGAAAGAAATCCTAGAATTTATATCTTTTTTTTTTTTTTTTTTTTTTGGTTTAGGGGGAAATTAAGGACCAGAGATGTAGCAATAAAAGTTGTTCAGTTTTTAATGTTTTATTATTTGAAATAATTGTTAGAAATTAGTCATTATATTTTAAAAATATACTATAAGATAGTGACTACTCAGAAAACTTGTCTAGTTGCTATATTTCTGATAGTTTTAATTAAAATGATTTAACATAAATATATACATATATTTAAATATATATCTAAATCTGTTTGAAAATCTAAATGCTTAAGAGTTTATGGTATGCTATGATGTAGAGCCCAGCATTATATAATATTGTGTTTTTTCCCCTATCACTTTCTTCCATTGCTTAAGAGTCCTTGAAGCCAGCATAGAAGACAACAAAGCAGGTTTGAAGAGGACACCTACAGAAGTTTGGAGGGATTCTCGAAACCCTTATGATAGAAAAAGGCAGGACAGAACGCCTGTCGGGTTAAAGAATGTTGGCAATACTTGCTGGTTTAGTGCAGTTATTCAGGTAAGCATCTGTATACAGGTTTTCTTTAGTGAGAATGATAGCAGTCAAAATTAGGCTCAATTGTATATTTATTTTCAGTTAGTAAAAGATTTGCGATGTCATTTATCCATCTTGAGTCATCACTCCTGCATTGGGGTTTCAGCAGTAGAACCCCAGGCCTTTTGCTTATTTTGAATTAATATTTGCTCCCTACCTGTTGTTAGCATTTGCTGGTGAGACGGAAAGGCAATATTTTTGAATATATTCCTTGAAAATTTAGGAAAGCATTGTCAAAAAGCCCATATGATTTATGGTGAGTGAAAGGCATGAGATGCTCTTACCATCATAGTGATATCTAAAATATCTAAAATACTGAGAGCATTGAAGAAAAATACTGCAAGTTTCCAAAACATTTTCACGTATCATTTAGAATATTTTCTTATATTTCTTGCTCTTACCTTTTACTTGCTCAGTTTTCATGGAGAGGGAAGAGAAGACGCCAAATTCAAAGAGAGGCAAACAACAACAACAACAACAAACAATAAAAAACTTACAGCTGTAAAAAGCCTACAGTGAAAATCAGTGGTTTTCCTCAGCCCTGCTTCTCAAAAACACCTGTAGCCAGTCTGTTTGTTTTGTTCTCTTTGGTTTCCTTTTTTTCTTCTTTTTATTTTTAAATTTTAATCTTTTATTATTATTATTATCATCATCATTTTATGATCAGTTCCATAGGCCCCTGGGATTTCCCTTAGCCCTTCCTTAAATCCCTCCCCACCTACCCACCGTGTTCCCCTGTATCATTACTATTGTGCAGTTCTTCATACACAGTCATAGGTCCATTATTGTGGGCATGGACAATGACAGAGAGTCCATCATCCCGTTGTCATATAGTAAACAATTTCATTGGGAGTCCATCTTTAGTCTGGAAGTAGAAATGCATACTGCATTGTGTCCTCACATCTGGATATGGTATTCTCCATTTCAGTTATTGTACATTCTCTTAAATGGAAAGTCACAATACAAAATCAACAATAGGAAAAAAAAATAGAAATTTATAATGCCAAGAAGGTAAATAACATGGTCTGTTATCTTCAGTTTCACGTGTTGTGTTTCCCTGTTGATATGAGTTTGGGCTTTCATGTCATTCAGCTAGAACTCCTTTTTATGTTACTTCCTGACATATCACAACCTCAAAGTAATTACCAATCAGTATTCACATTTCTATAATTTGTAAACATTAGGAAGATTCAGTAGGTTTATGGCCCCATAATCTTTGTTTTCTTGCTTTTTCCTCTCTTCTTCCTTCTTATCTTAACCACTTTCTATATATTAGTATCTCTGTTATTATCAATATGGCGTATATGCTCAAGTGTATTTGCTCTATTTTTCTTCTTGGAGTCCTTTCTCTCAGAAGATTTCTGTGTGTCAAATTGGTACTGAATTCTCATTCTTTGTGAAGCATGGTTGTTCACTGACCAAAGGTAGATCTGTAAAAATGGGGTGGTCCCTGTGGTTGTCTGTAAATTTTCACAGAAACCAGATGCAAGAGGAAGCAAGTAGTACAAATCTGAAGTATATTGTTAAGGGAAACACCAGAATAAAACAGAAAGGCTTAATAGAGAAAAAAATGTCTGAAAGTGCAGACACATAGAAGGACTTGTCACTTTCACAAAAGAGGGGAAAAAAAGCAATAACAGCTAACCTTTCAAAGGTGATACCCTGAAATTGCTATAAAAAATTAGCTTAGTAGAATACTGTACCTGGCAAAAATATTTAAAAAGCAGCAACAACCAGATTCCACTTTAGCAACAACTTGGCACCAAATAAAATCTTAACTGTTCAGGAACTAGGTGTGTGATCTCTGTGGAAAGTTCAGGAAGTAGGAGAAAGACTAGGGTTCTCCAAATTTGTCATTGTTCTCTTTCTTCTGTAAAGTTTAAAGATTAGTTCCACAAAGGTAGAGACTGCTGAAGTACCAATTTTGCTCTTCCAGTTTTCAGGCACATAGGTATTGCATAGATCTTTAGTATGTAAGTGAATGATTTCATATGCTCTGAATGTCTAAATAAAAACCTCTTCTATGTTGCAGTAAAAACATCGTATTTTCCTACCATTTATTATTACTGTTGTGGATTTTACCTTTTCTATTTATGTCTTAGTATACCTATTTATCTGTCCTTCTTTCTTAATGTACTGAACTAGCTTTTTCAGTAATTGGCTGTTTTCCAATTGGTTTGTGCTAGGGAGGGAACACGTTGGTCTATTATATAGATCAAATAATCTATTAAGATATATTATTACATCTTACATATAGTAATTTTTAAACCTTAAAAACTATTCTCAGAAAAACTTATGTTGTAAAGCCTTTCAGACAACTGTATGAAGAGTATCAATAATGTACATTTAAGAAAAAATACTTTATTGAATAAGATACATTCTGATTTACTTCATTTCTTTCACCTCATTTGTGAAGTGAGTGTTCATCCTGTAGGCATTGAAGAATTACAAGGTATAATCCTGATTCTGGGAGCCTTTTTATAGGCCTGCTTCAAGTGTTGTGTTCATTATAGTCTGTTTTACTGTAGTAGGAGTCACATGTCTATTATAGGTACTAATATTCATCCTCTTTCTAGGTTGTGTGCATTTTTGTGAGCATGGAGATGCTACATATTTTTGCTTTTTCTCTTCTCTAACATCTGGTGAACAAATTTATCTTTTATTTCTCTAGATAATTATGGAAAATGTAGCATGCGTAAAAAGTCTTAATTTTTACATTTGATACTTTTATTTGAGAAAATTGCTTGCCAAGCACATAGTAATGTAATGAGCTTTTAGTAATTTTAATATGTGCTAATTTTTGTGTATAATTTTGTTCAACAGAACAAATATTGTTAGCTATCCAGAATTGATGAAGTATAAGAAATTTGGCTTGTTTTTAACTTCAGGGTCAAAGTTCTTTTCTAGGTTTCAACAGTTCTGTGTCTAAACAGTACGGTTACCAGAAGTAAGCCCCTGAGACCCTTAGGTATCTTAAATTGTTGTTTGTTTTTTCAGTCATTATTCAATCTTTTGGAATTTAGAAGATTAGTGCTGAATTACAAACCTCCATCACATGCTCAAGATTTACCCCAAAACCAAAAGGTAAAGTTGTAGCACTTGTTGAAGCAGAATATCTATGTTCTGTTTGGTTTTCTGTGATTGATTTGGAGGCATTTATATCATTAAGTCTCAGACTGTCAGAATTTTAATCTCAAATCGCTAATCTCAGTTATCATAGTAACTTCTGTCTTTTGAGCATATGTTGTAAATAGTTTTTTCACCTAAAGATTACAATAATATTCCAATTTGTAATATCAGTTGACTGGCTTTTCTCCCTTTTTTGACTACTAAATTTCAATAAAATTGTACAGATTGCAATTTGCGGTTTAAGGTCAATCCTCAGTTCTGAAAAAAAATATGTAGAAACCAATTCCCTTTTTAATTGCTTATGCAGAGCAGTCCTTTAAAAATTTAATTTTGTATTAGTTTCTTTGCAGTGCAGGTTTATATGTTCTGCTTGGGCAGTTGATACTGTCAGGTAGGCAGTATAAAACTGCACAGACAATCAACCTGCTTGGGTTCTAGTGTGAGCCTAAGGAAGTCATTTGTCTCACTCTGTTTACTTGCCTTAATGATAAAGTACAAGAATTGACGAGAATGTTCTCATAGATTGGCTGTGGGAATTAGAACATGGTATGGATGTTTAAGATGCCTATCTCGGACACCCATATCTCATGTTGAAGTGCCTGAGTTTGACACCCAGGTCATCTCCTGACTCCAGCTCCCTGCTAACACAGACCCTAGGAGGCAGCTGTGATGGTTCAGAAAGTTGGGTTTCTTTCAGCCAAGTGAGAAAAGAGATTGAGGTCATCGCATCTGGCCTTGTCCTGGTCTGTTGCAGGTGCTAAGGGAGCACTTTTCTCTTTCACTCTTGCTCTTTGTCTCTTTCAGTGTGTCAGACAAATAAGTAAATAACAAACTTTATAAAAAGGAGGTGAAACATATTAAAGTTCTTAATACATAGTTGTCTGATATTGCTAATGAAGATATATGTACTTTTAAAAAATAATATATTTGAAAAGTACAATGCATATCTACATACTTATATAAATTCATTAGTGGAAAAAAATGGTTATGGATATGATGTCCTTTATAACTTGCTATTGGTGATCTTGTCCCAAACAAGCCCTGTGGCTCTAAAGTTAACTTGATGCTAAGAAAGTGTGAGATTTTATAAAAGTGCTGAACTGTGACCTGTTGTAGTCATAGTAATGGATTATACAATTGTATTCTGCTTTCAATGTTCAGTTTTTAAAAACACTTTTATACAAACAAGAAGCATATGCAATACATACTGTTAGGAACGCAACTTGATTTGTAACTATTTTAATGTAAATGGTTAGTGATTGTTAATGTAAATTATTGTTTTTTCCTTGAGTTTGGGTAAATCAGGCAATAGGAATTGAATGTGTAGTAACTTTTGGTAGAGAAACAGAAGTCCTTTTTTTTTTTTTTTGCTTTAACAAGTACACCATATTTTGAAAAACAAAATTAAGGTTTTAAGGATATTTTGAAGGATGACACATTAGCCTTCCTTTATGTTCTGCTCTAATAAGCTATAATTAAACTGAGTTAAATATAACAAAATATGAAAAAACTGATTTGTGCAAGTAAAATACATTACTAAAATAATTCATTAAATATAAATTTATTGAGGTCTAACAGTTAGGAAAGGTCTGGAAAGGTTTCATGCAGGGGGAAGACATGGCATCCAAGCGTTTCTTGGGGGTGGGTGATATAGTTGGAACAGTGGCTTGCTGTGAGCCAGCCCTGAGGAAGGCTGGCTGTCACTGCATTTGCTGTGAGCACATGCCATTGATGCTGACACTGTGCATCCAGCACTGTTCTGTGCTTGGGATTGATGATTCCTATGAGCCTTGTGGGTGGTACTAGTATTCTTTCTTCAGTTCTGGTACAGAGTGTAGGGTGCATCCCTAATTTATATCGGTTAGTTTAAATTTTGGCCACTGTTAAATATATGTTTACCAGTAAAAATTAATATGTTGCTCTTCAGCTTTTTTCTTTCTTTTTTTTAATAATAGGAACATCGAAATTTGCCTTTTATGCGTGAGCTGAGGTATTTATTTGCCCTTCTTGTTGGTACTAAAAGGAAATATGTTGATCCATCAAGAGCAGTTGAAATTCTTAAGGATGCCTTCAAATCAAATGATTTACAGCAGGTAGTTTTTGGTACTTCTCTGTCAACAATTTATATTTAATCTGATCATTCCTTACACAGTTTTTCTGAAAATCCACGCCACAATTAAATGATGTGTATGTTAAAATAAATTCATATTAGAGTTTATTGTATAGTTGAAGCTACTAAATGAATATAGTGAATAAACAACAATCAGGTAGTTGAAAAGAATAGCAAATGTCTGATAGACTAATCAGTATTGTTACTGGATTTAATAGCAGGGAATAATTTTCCCAAGGTAGGGAAGGTGTTTGAATTACATTTTCTGTAAATGAGGATCTTCTAAATTTCTTTCCATTTCCTTCCCCATGTTTTTTGCTCCTTGCTTTTCTGGAAGTTTATCTTACACGATGAAAATAAATAAGCAAAGATGGTACTCAAAAGATTTTTAAAATATCAAAAAAAATTCTAATCATGAATTTATACAAAGGCATAAAAGTTATTTTAATGTACTAAATTAGTTTACGGGGTATCTTAAATTAATATGAATTATATGAAAACAATAAAAGGTGGGTCTGGTGCTGTGGCACAACTGGTGGTGCTGCTGGTTGTGTTGCTGACATCCCTGGTGGGCCAGGGTTCAAATTCCGGTTGCTCCATCTCCAATACAGTTCCCTGTAAAAACAGAAGATGGCCTGAGTGCTTGGGCCTCCCATCCATGATGGAGTCCTTGAGAAGTTCGTGGCGCCTGTCTTCAGCCTTGATCAGTTCTGGCCTTCGCAGCCTGTGGGGGAGAGAAGCAGCAGATGCAATATTCTCTTGCCTAAAATTTTGCCTTTGAAATAAGAGAAATCTTAAAACAATAGAGTACCCTCCCACAGTTCTAGAGGCTAGAGGTCCAAATGAAGGAGCTGGCAGAGCCATGTTACCTCTGATAGCTCTTTTGTTGTGATTATTTTTTCTTTCTTCTGGTAGTTCCTCGTAATGTTTGGCTTGATACCTTCAAGTGGACTATTCCCCTGTGTGTCTGTGTGTCCTCTTTTTCTATTTAAGTATATCCCTGCTTTAATTTAGGGCCAGCCATTATTCAAGATGATCTCATCTGGAGATCCTGCCCTGCTTTTATTATTATTATTATTATTATTACTTTAACCACATCTTATTTATTTATTTATTTATTTATAATTTTTAATTATATATATATTTTTAATTACATTGTATTATGTGACACAGTTCTATAGGCACTTATATATTTTTTTAAATTACATTGTATTATGACCTGTCCTGCTTTTATGCACAAGGACTCTTATTCCATGTGGGATCATTCTGAGATCTTAGGCTGACATGTGTTTTGGTGGACTGCCATTCAACCTACTGGAAGTGTTGTGGATTTTTTAACTTGATTTTCCTGCTGATGGCAAACCTATGTTGCATTGGAACAACTAAAGTCAAGCCTATTTTAGGTGGTAGTTTCAAGAATGGAAAGGTTATATGTTTGGTCTGTATGATTTTCAAAAAAAAATTCTGTTGGAAAAATATAAGATTGTGTCTTTCATGTTTAGAGTTATTTGTTAAGGGAGACTACACTAATTCATTTTACTTGCAGTAGTCTCAATGGAATGAATCTTTCCTATGGTTCTGTGTGCCTCTGTTCTAATTCATATTACTTTAGCAATTATGATTGTTCAATGCAAGTGCCACAACACTCCTTTTCTATGATAGAGAGTCAGAGACAAAGGGAGAGGGTCAGTAGGAGATGACGTGTATGCTTGTGTTACACTCATGATCCAGGGGCTGACTCCAGGTCAACAGGCCAGAATAAAGGTGAATTCGGTTTAAATAATTATATGTAAACATTGAATTAGGAGATGGAATTGTCTACAAGTGCTAATCTTCCTTCAGTGAGTGAAGCCATTAATTTTTTAATAAGCAACATTTTACTAAGAAGTATTTTGTTTTTTTGCAAAGATTCATTACAGAGCTCTGTTGGAGTTAACTGTTTAAAAAAATTCATTTATAAATTGAATTTTAATGTTCATACTATTCCCAGTAACATTAGTGATCTTGTTTTCAAATGATTGATTGTATGGTTTTTAAATTTCATACATTTCTTGCATTTGATACGAAGTATTTTACATGATACTTTCATGAGAAGTAATTAATCACTCATTTCTAAAATTGGTTAGAAGTTTTATGTTACCATGTGTAGCTTTATAATTAGAAGGCTAAAATATCGAATAAGACTTTTTCTTTCCACAGCAAGATGTGAGTGAATTTACACATAAATTATTGGATTGGTTAGAAGATGCCTTCCAAATGAAAGCTGAAGAAGACACGTAAGTTACCATGAAGCTTATTGATGGAGTCTTGTGAAGTCAATAAATGATAATCATTTTTCCTGTTTTTGTTTTTATTTTTAACAGAGAAATATGAACCTAATACAGACTTTTGAGAATCCCAGTATTATTTATATTATTTACAAGCTGTTTGAAATTTGTGGACAGAAGTAAATATGGGTAGCTTTAAGTTCTAACATAAAGTTGGAATTAAGTCAGTCAAATCCAAACTGATTCCTGGAAGGACTATTTTTTTAAGATGTGTTTTTATAGGCATATTTTACAGAAAGGAGGGGACACTGAGGGGACTTCCATCTACTGACTCTCTCCCCAAATGGCTGCAGTGACCAGGTACTAGCTTAGTACAAGGTAGAGGCCAGGAGCTTCCTTCAGGTCTTCTGTGTGGATGCGCCCAAGGACTTGAGCCATCCTTTGCTGCTTTCCCAGGTCATAATCAGGGCACTGGATTGGAAGTATACCAGCCAAGATATGAACCAAAGCCTATGTGGGATGACAGCTCCACAGGGGGAGGATTAGCCCGTTATGCCAGCACACCAGCTCCTGGAAGGGCTGATCCTACAGGACCACTTCCTGTCCTTAGATTCAATAATCACCTTAGAATCAGTAGTCATGGCTCCACTGTGGAGGGATGGGTTATTGGTAGGTTAAAGTAACAGGAATAGTGATTCTTGTGAAGAACTAGGGTAAGGAAACATGAAGGCAGAGATTAGAATTTCTTCCTTCATATTTCCTACTACTAATATATTTTTATTCCATAGTCTTAAACTGCTAAGGCCTTGGTTACTCCAGAATTATTTCCCATCTCCATGGAAGTAAAGATGGTTTTGGGGGAGGTCCTTCTCGTATTCTCACAAGGCCCTTCTCATATCTTAAGTACCTAGCAATTGTCACATGTGTATTTCCTTGAACTATAGGTGAACCGTTTACATTGTAACTTCAAGACTATGAGAGGAAATTAATACACATAGTCTAACTAAGTAGAATCAGAGCCAAAAATCTAGATTGAACATTCTGTTCTCCTTATTCTGCTTTTTTAAAGATTTATTTATTTTTATTACAAAGTCAGATACATAGAGAGAAGGAGAGACAGAGACGAAGATTATCTGTCCAATGATTCCCAAATGAGCACAATGGCCGGTGCTGTACAGATCTGAAGCCAGGATCCAGGAACTTCCTCCAGGTCTCCCACACGCTGCAGGGTTTCAAGGCTTTTGGGCCGTACTTCACTGCTTTCCCAGGCCACAAGCAGGAAGCTGGATGGGAAGTGGAGCTGCCGGGATTAGAACTGGCTCCCATAAGGGATCCCGGGCACGTTCAAGGTGAGGACTTCAGCTGCTAGGCCATGCTGCCGGGCTCAGCTCCTTATCCTATTTTTAACTTCTGCTCATCCTCATTGACCAATCAAGGTCTTCTAAATGTGGCATTTCTAGCAAAAACTTTTATTTTGTTTTTGTTTATTTTTTAAAATCTGAATCAATATTGCTGCAAATTAAAGAAAAATTTAAATCTTGTATACTTTTATCAAGTCAGTAGTTTAAAATGTTGTATGACTATAGAAGAATGAGCATAGTATCGCTGTAGACCTCATTTAGAACAATCTTTTCTGGGTGATGAGGTTGGCCAAATTTTTGATGGCCTGTGGTCACCTTATAATTCACTATATATGAGTGAAATGGTAATTTTTTTTCATTCAAGTATTGCTTATAGCCATTTTTTATATTTTCTTTTTTTTTCCGAGCTTCCTATTGGGTGAAGCATTGAGTCCTTTTTTCTGTGATATAAATTTAAAATATAATATTTCAAGAAGTAAAAACAAGGAGAAAGGGGAAGGAAGTAAGGTGGGAGAGCAGTGGAGAAAGGGAACATTGTCATGCTCTTAGAATTGTATCTTAGGGCCCAGCAAGGTGGCCTAGCGGCTAAGGTCCTTGTCTTGAACATGCCGGGATCCCATATGGGCACCGGTTCTAATCCTGGCAGCTCTACTTCCCATCCACCTCCCTACTTGTGGCTTGGGAAAGCAGCTGAGGATGACCCAATCCCTTAGGACCCTGCACCCATGTGGGAGACCTGGAAGAGCTCCTGCCTTCTGGCTTTGCATCAGCACAGCTCTGCTGGCCATTGCAGTCATTGAGCGGAAGATCTTTCACTCTGTCTCTCCTCCTTGCTATATATCTGACTTTGCAGTAAAAATCAACAAATCTTAAAAAAATAATAATTGTATCAAAAAATTGTCTCTACAAGTCATATTGAATCTATTAAAACTAAATTAAAAATGATATTCTGACCATTTAGTGTTAACGACCCAGTGATGCTTCCCAAACTTAATGTAGACACATCACTCTGTATTATCAAAACCCAGAAAACAATTACATTTCTAAGTGATAACTCTTTGGTCTTTTGAGTGTAAAGTTCAGAAAAATTACATTAAAATCAGGTTAATTTGCATTCTGTATTTGAAATCTAACAAAATAAAAATCATTTCCTGATCTCATAGTATGATCTCAGCATGTCATTTGTGTGTCTGGATTAGTTTGTTCTGCAGCTACAGCCATCACTTTGATTTATATAGTACTTTAAATGTTAAATTTTACATGCATTTACTTTAGGTTTCAAAGTATCATTAGAGCATAAATGATTAACATTTTGAAATTTTGAAATAGGCAAATCTTTAACCTCTTTATTTTTCAACTAAACATAATATTACTTTCTCCCTTAGTGTAATTTTCCTCAAAATGTTGCCAAACACTATAGCAAAAACTTAAGATATTATGGTAACTTGAGAAAATCTCTTCATTTTAATTCTGGTACAGTGCCTGCCTTTAATGACCAGTTGATTATAGACAAAACTTGTATTAAGTTTGAAGAAAACTCTGAAGAGATTAACTTTGTGCTAAGATTTTGATATTGGGGAGAAAAACCCATGTGGTTGCAAAATCTGCCACAGAGTATGGCATATGAGTGCTGCTTTCTTGTTGGCGAGCTTAGAAGCTGATCATGCCGGCTTCGTTGGTCATGGCTCTCTTCTTTTTCTATGTATCAAAACTCGTTGTGTTCTCCTTGAGAGATCCAGTTTGCCAGAGCATGCTGCATTAAGTAGAATCTCAACTATTTATTTTTTGCCACAGTGGCTAGAGATACTGTGTTTTTGTTGAGAGAGAGAGTATTGTAAATGCAGAGGATGCATAGATATCTTCAGTAGGTTGGTTCACTCTGAACTCTGTTTTACGCTAAAGGTCTTACTTTCCTATTCGTATCTATTGAGGTTTTCTGTGAACATGTCCTGGCAGTGTTCTGCCTAGGTGCTGTTTCTTTGTAGCCTACTGCTTTCCTCAGTCTGTATTTGTTCTGTCTGAATGTGTGAGTCTATTCTGACTGGAGTTCTAGTTTACTGCCTGCATTTTAAAGTCAGTTTCTTTTGTTCTTAGTCATATTTTTTAGTTTTCATAACTATTAAAGTTACCACCCTTTTTCTAAAATGTTCAGAAGAAGGTGGAACTTGTCTGTTTTTTCTAAAAACTTTTCATTTACAACATGACCTTTTCATTGTTCCTTTTGTCAGTATTTTGACTTATATTTTTGAACCAGTGTGCTTTGCTATTCTATAGCAAAGTTGTTTTTTTTTTGCTTCTACTTGCTTTGTCATGACAAGCCAGGAGGTATGTGGGAGGATTTGCCCTGTTTCTCTGAAAATATGAAAATGTCATTTTATCCTAAAGTTCTTTTCATGTTTTATATGTATATCAATAGCATTAAAGTATTTGAAAGCATTGACTCAGAGCATTCAAATGTTAAAATTCTGGCAAATTCACAAATACTAATTACAATAGTGAGACGAAATATAGGATGGAATGACTGAGCGAGCGCTGGTCTGGTCAAAGCTGTTCCTATGGTGGTGATGGCTATTTTAGGAATCTTTGCACCAAGGTGGGTGCAGGGGATAACATATTCAAATTTTGCATAAATCTTTCTTGATTCATACTGCTCTATCTCAGTCCTAGGAAGTCCAGATAATCATGTGTTATACGGATTCAAATGCAGGCTGCACGTTATGTGGCAGTAGAACAGCAGGTACTTTGTGAACACAGATTGTCAGAGTTCCTTCTTGACCTAGAGTTTCTTCATTTTGACCCTGTCACAATCCTGTAAGTTCAGTTACCATAATTATGTTCAGTTGACATGAGAAGAAACGGGAAAATGAATTGTAGTTCTTTGTCCAAGGTGACACAGCAAATATTAGAACCACATGTATGATAGACACATAAATGCTCTTGTACTTTTAATGTCTTATTTAAAGGTTGCATAGTTGTAACCACGTTTCTGTTTCTTATCTTGCTTTAGGGATGAAGAAAAACCAAAGAACCCCATGGTAGAGTTATTCTATGGAAGATTTCTGGCTGTGGGTGTACTTGAAGGTATAGTTTACCCATTTACTCTTTTATTACAAGAGATTGTTATTTGTTAGTTCCTTTACTTTGATAGTGCTTATGGATTTAAATTTATTTGTTCTGCAATTTCATGGCTCCAAATAAACATTTGCATATTTGGGTAAATGAAAGGGAAGGTACAAAATGCATTGTCCCTTGCTAATTAATATTTACATCTTATTACACTAGTGTCCTTTCCAGTTAGAGAACTTCTGTGATGATCTCAGTTGCTGGGATATGAATTACTGCCACTATAATACTTTAATGAGTTATGGGTTTCGTATTTCAGACTTCTAGCTTTGGGATTAAGGACATTTAGTAAAGCCTATGTAGAAATTCCCGAAACTAATATTTTAAAAATTCCTGTGATCTGAAACAGGGCTGGTCTAGGCTTTTCAGAGAAGGGGTACCCAGCTTGGATTATGGCTGAATATTGGCCTGAAGGTGATGCTCAGTTTTTTTTTCCCTGTATTAAAATTAGAATAAACATGATGTTAGAGTTTGCATTTATTTATTAATTTGTTTATTTTAAAGGTTTATTCATTTACTTGAAAGGCAGAGAGTGACACACAGAGACAAAGAGAACATGAATATTAGTTGATTTAACTTACGGTCCATTGATTTGTTCACTGCAAGCACTGGCACCGGGCCAGACTGAAGTTAGGAACCTTGAACTCCATCTGTATCTTCCGCCTGGGTGGGAGAGGCCCAAGCGCCTTGGCCATCTTGTGCTTCCCCAGGTGTGTTAGCAAGGAGCTGGATCTGAAGTACAGTGACGGGAATAGGACTGGCATTCAGGAGATGCGGGCATTGAAGTGGTGGGCTATACCGGCTGTGCTACCGTGCTGCTCCGAGTGTTCTCATCCTTCAAGCAATTCTATAGTTTCTTAGATTGTAGTTTTCAAGAAAGGGTTAGGTTCCATGTTTTGGATAAATCATCTGAAAGTGATACTGCTTCATCTGTTTAATTACCTAGAATTAAAATTTAGGCTCGTGTGGTTTCTTTCATTTTCTTAACAAGAGAAATAGGAAAAAAAGCATCTTGATATGTAATGATATTAAGTCTCTAAGCATAAACATTTGAAAATATTTTTTCCTAAGTAACTCAGTGTTTCAACTCTGAAGTTACTTTTTCCAGATCATCTAAAATATAAAAATCTGGGATTCCCATGAAGTTTTGTTTAAATAAAATTTCAGGTTATATTCAGGCATTCTGAAGCTGTGAGTATACCTGGTGAGGCTATACCTGGCCACTGTTATGGCCTGCATCAACATTTTTATTCATGTTGCATTTTTTAAAAGACTTATTTGTATTGGAAAGCCAGATATATTCAGAGAAGAGGAGACAGAGAGGAATATCTTTTGTCCATTGAATCACTCCCAAAGTGGCCGCAGTGGCTGGAGCTGAGCTGATCTGAAGCCAGGAGCCTGGAGACTCTTTTAGCTCTCCCACGCAGGTGCAGGGTTGGATTCTTAAAAATGGTTATCTAAAATAATTTGTCCTTCAGGACTGAAAATTGGTTCTAAGTTTGGTTGTATAAATGTTGCTTCAATAGATTTCCACTCCAATTCGTGCTTCATTAAACAAAAACACTTACTTTACAACTTGTTCTTACCATTCCTGTCATTTAGCTTCCTAATATTTTCCTTTGCATCAGTGGTTCGCTACAGCAGATTATCACCTTGTTGCTAAAGCACCTTGCTACACAAGCCCTTAAGCTCTGAGAATTTCTGGTGCCTTCAAGCTTACAGTTTGCTTCTCTCAGGCCTTTGCTGAGCTACATTTCTTTCCCTGCTCATCATTAAAATCACCTTTGTAAATACCCAAATGCCTTTTGTCTCCATTCCTTCAGGTACTACCTCACTGGTAATGATCTGGCCCTCCTTAACTACTGGTATTTTCACTGCAGATTAAGAGTGCCTGCTTGGTGCTGTGGAAAGGTGACCCAATGGGCTAACTGTAATAGATCATAAATCAATGGAAACTGCATAGGAAGTAAAACTGCAACCCTCACTGGAGTTGGCAGGGGCAAATGTGCTATCTGCAGTCCTATAACCCTAGCAGGCATTTGTACTTGTTTTGTATAATCACTGCCCTGCCTCTCATTTTCTGCAATAATTATTTTATTGTTTCCACTTACTTCAAAGCTAACTTCTTTATCTCTTCATTCTTACCATTCTTCCTATCATTCTTCTTTCCCCTTTACATACCTTTTTCATTCTACCATTTGCAACAAAATGGCCCCAGCTAGAGACCATTATGCTCAGTGAAGTAAGCCAATCTCAAAAGGACAAATATCATACATTCTCTCTGATATAAGGCAATCTTCATGCAAAAATACAAGATCAGCATATATAATATATATGTCGGTAAATATGTGTATACATATATTCATCTAGAGGAACTGTACAGTGGAGATGAGTATACAAATAGATACATCTTTATTCTTGAATAAAAAAATGGACTTACAATGCAGTTGTTAAATATGTCTTGACCACAGGATGCTGGATTTTCTGTCATTGTCTGTATCTACAATGTCAGGATACACTAAGCTAGCAAAACGATGGACTTGTGAAGGACTGTACTATTGGGAAAATATAGGGGAAAAGGGAGCAGGGAGTAGAAATGGGAAGAGAGGAAGGTGAAACTCCTGAACCTATGGAATCATATCATAGAAAATAATATTAAAATAATTATATGTAACTAAATAATTGACTAGTAATAAAAATCTTTATTTCAATGTCTTGAATGAGTGATTAGACCTTAATCATCCCCTTGTCTGTGTGTCATCAGCTACCATCTTTCCACTGTTAATTCTCAGTATTCGGACATGGACTGTTTTCTAATATCTTGAAGTTAACAAAAACACTATCCTTTCCCATACTTTACCCCCTTTCCTTGGAAATGAGCTTTTTTTTTTCATTCTTGCTCAGGGTTAAACCCCTTGGAAAGAAAGCAGACACCACTTTTAGCTTCTATTTAACTTGCCTTACTTTAGCTTCTGCCAACCACTCTGCAAAAAAGGGGTTGTTCTTAAGGTCATTGATTTCCTAAATGTAGTGAAATCCATTGCATCTGATTCAGTCTTCATATTGAATTTTTATAAAATATTAATGCTGTTAATATATTCATCCTTCCGTCTTCTCCTCCTCTTTATGTAAAAGCATACTTACCCACTTTCTGTGATAACATTCTCTCGGCTTTTCCCCTTGGTGTAAGTTAAATTTATAATCTCTTCTTGCATCTGAAAGTAGGAGGTCCTTGGTTCTTAACCTTCTTCCTCTTCCTGTTTCATTCCCTTGGCAGTCTCAAATTAACTTGAATTCTTGCTATGCTATCAACAATCCAGCCATTCTCTAGCTATTTATATCCTGTGATCAAAATATCAGTCTTAGCTATAGTCTCATGTATTTAGTCCTTTTGTCAAGCTGAAATCTTATAGGCCATTTTTAACCAACAATGTTTTTTGAAATTGTGCTATCCAGTGGCAAACTTGTTTTTTCCCCACCTTTTTTTTATTATAATTTTGATAATCGTTACATAGTTAAAACTCTTCAAGGGCTACAGGAAAGTGAGCAAGACTATTATTTCTACATTGTTTCCTTTATGTATATGGGGTAAAGGGGGGTATTAAGGGAAAAGCCTCACCTAGTCTCCCAAGCACCCCAGGTCCCTGATGTAGGGCATGCTTTGAGGGTCTTGCTCAAGTGGTTTTGATAGTTCAACAGGCATGAATTGCTGCCAGTCTCCCCACTCCTAGCACTATGAGGTCGTAGAAGAATCCACTGATTGACATAGTCCATCATAGAGTCTCCAATTGCCCAGTTTTTCACTGCTAACATATGGCTGATCTGGTTGATTGACTTGTTCTGTCCTTTATCTTTTCATGATTAGGGTTCTGAGTCTGGCAGTTTGATTGGGGAGATCCCCAAAGAAACTTTGTCCAAGGTGTTCCCAGACCAGATTCTTGTATGTGCTAGCAAGCACAGGGCCCGGCATAGTCCATCACCCCAATCAGCTAGTGGTTGCAATTGCTGGGTTGGTTCTGTTTCCAGCCCTGTCTTCCATTGGAATCAGTGGGTGTTGTAGTCCAGCCTGATTCTGCCCAGCACTCGCATAAACCAGTGGGAGCTGCAGCCTAGTCCGAGCAACCCATAATAACCTACAATTTTAATGCTGCTGCCTCAAAACAAAACTAAACTGCTGGCTCAAGTGCTAGAGCTGTTGTTACTGTCATGGGAGACCTGGATAATTCTGTGCTTCTGGCTTCAGCTTGGCCCAGTCGTGGCTACTCTGGGCAACTGTGAAGTGAACCAGTGGATGAAAGATAAGTCTCCCTGACTATGTTACTCTCCCTTTCAAATAGATGAAAATAAATAAATTTTTAAAAATATATGAAAAAATTAACTTGGTGTTTCTGCTAAGAAAATTTGTGTCATTCTTGATAGCTTTATTTTCCTACAGTCTCCAATAATGCTTTCAGGTTCCTTAAATCCTTTTAGATCTGGGTTTTTTATGTGAATGTAGTGCATTTAATTTCATTTGTTTTGTATAATCTGTTACCACATTCCGTTTATTTCTGGATGCATCCTTTAGTAGTCCTAACAGTCTCATGTATATTCCACAGACACCATAAAAGTATTTCAAAAGCACAAATCCTATTCTGTCCTTAGATGTAACAATCCATCCTCTTTTCATTATGCTCAGAATATACAGAATGTATTTTTAAAAATTAACAAAATTACCAACCATGTAGATCTTGACCTCCTACCTGATGTTTTATTTTCACTTCCTGCTACCCGACCAAGGCCTGAGCTTCCTTTAGATCCTCAAACACGTAGCCTTTGTCTCCCTTTTCACTTGCTCAGTATTCGCAGGAACACTTCCCAGCTCCTCAGTTCTGTCACCTTGCTTAATCCTGCTCATCGTGCAGCTCTCAGCTTAAAGATCACTTTGCCATGGAAGCTTTCCCTGCTCTACCCTCCTGCTCCAGACTCAGCTCTCCTTTTCTTACACTCGCACAGAACTTACTGTAATAAACAGTTTGTTGCTATGAATACTTGCTGTTAATGTATATATTTAATGTGTATACAGTGTGTTCCCTACAAATGAGGCTAAGAGTTTCCTTACATCAGAGATCATGTCTGTCTGCCTCCTCATTTGTTTTTATATGAACTCAGTGTTTACCAAACTATCTTGCCATTGGATAGTGTTTCTTGTCAAAACAACCACATATACATGTTTGTGTGTAATTATTATCCGTGACAGTCTGTGACACATAGGGATGTTCTACCGTTTCATTATTCTCGGGAACATCTTAAGTGGTCACTTTTGCAGCCTTTCAGGTTCAGAAGAAAATCTGTGTATATACTTGTCAGGTGCTAACAAGCCGTATTGTGGAACATGAATTTAATTAACTTTACCCCTTCCTGTAGGTAAAAAATTTGAAAATACTGAAATGTTTGGTCAGTATCCGCTTCAGGTCAATGGGTTCAAAGATCTACATGAGTGCCTAGAAGCTGCAATGATTGAAGGAGAGATTGAATCTTCACACTCAGAGAACTCAGGAAAATCAGGCCAAGAGGTGAGTTTAGCACTTTCATATGTCCTTCCTTTCCCAGTCTCTTACAGTGCTATGAAGCACAATGGAAGATTCTTATTAAGTAACTTACAGAAGACAAAGAAAAATGCACTTGAATTTAATGAAGACATTTAATTATGACAGTTTAGGAATATTTCGAATATATACTTAGGCAGCATAGTCCGTGATCCATGTTAATCCCGGCTTCTCAATCAAGGGACAGTCACAAATGAGCAGTATGGTACTCTAAAAACACTGATTAAGGGTGATTTTATATAGGTGCATGCTACTTATACCAAATGTTGGAATTTGACCAAGCCTGTATGAACTTTCTGCTTGGGGGGAAAAACTCCAACAGCTTCTAGTACAAAAACAAACCCTTAAACTCAGGTTGTAAGTGTGTTTGTCTGCCTCCGCTGGCCTCTTTCCTGCCACTCATCTCTGTCCATCCACCTCTCTTGCTCTGTATATTTGTCAGTCCTGGACTATTGACACTACCACAGAAAACAAAGGCAAGATCACTTGTCTCTGAATCTATTACTGTTAATCACCATTGACAGTTGGCTACATAGAAGTTCTGTGCCTGAGGATAAGGGTTTTCATTTGTGTCATTAAGCACTGTATCTCTGTGGGATACTGTGGTGACTATACATAGAAGTAGATGATAGGTATTTATAAAGTAAGGAAGTGAAATATAGCAGTGCCCATCAAAAAGGCTTCAAAGATCTTTGTACTGAATAGATGCATAGTAAATATTAAGTAATAATATATCTGTGTTCATCTAACATGGGATTAGGTTCTTATTTCTTTGAGATTAAGCTTTCATTTAGATTATAAGATTTTGTAAAAAGATAAAATTAGCCTTTCCTGTCAGTTGCTTGCAAACCTCTCTTTCCCAGTTCATCCACATATTCTAAAAAAATAGTGTCTGCTGTGTTTTTGGTGGGTGAGGGGTGTTTGAGGAGTAGGGAGAAGAGATTCTGTTGAAGTGTTTCAGTCATAGCTGATCTGCTCAGGCAGTGCGTAGTAGGTGCTGATGTAACACTGCAGAGCTGTCTGACCAGCACGCGAGATGGAGAGAGGGTATCTGGACACTAACATTTCACAGATGGTTTAGTATGACTCTTCAGTTAAGAGAATTGAAATTCAGCAGATTTATTTGACTGAGAAGCAGGTCTCTAAACAAAGGAACTTTTGAAGAGACTCCTCAAGGGAACAAGAAAGCAAACTTGCTGAAATCTGCTTGATCTGCTTACTGTTAAATAAAAATATAATAGATTGGACAGGAGGACAGAAAGTGGGGAAGCAACTTTTAAGTGAAATATAGTATGGGATGTTGGTAAATAATCTTTCTTAGATATTCTTAAATTTAAAATAGAATAGACTTGCTTTATTTATTTACTAAAAATGCTATTTTTCTCCTTTGTTGCTGGCTTCATACATAAAATGTATATATTTTCTGCTAATTTTTTCCATTTATTCTAATAAAATTAATTTGTAATCTCATGAATTAGCAGTTTCTAACCGATGTCAATACTGATATATTTTATCACATAATTTGTGCTATAAAATGTGTACATTTGCTAGAGACAGAAGTTTCAAATATTCAACATGCTTTAAAAAACTCTTCATTTGAGTGTAGTATGTTAAAAGTTTTAGTAATGTTTACGATCTTTTTTAAAGATTTATTTATGTTTATTGGAAAGTCAGATATACAGAGCGGAGGAGAGACAGAGAGGAAGATATTCTATCTGCTGATTCACTCCCCAAGTGGCCACCATGACCAAAGCTGAGCCAATCTGAAGCCAGGAGCCAGTAGCCACTCCTGGTCTCCTACGTGGGTACAAGGTCCCAAGGCTTTGGGCTGTCCTCGACTGCTTTCCCAGGCCACAAGCAGGGAGCTAGATGGGAGGCAGGACTGCCAGGACATGGAACCAGCACCCACATGGGATCCTGGTTCATGTGGGGCAAAAACTTTAGTGGCAAGGCTACCACGCTAGGCCCAATGTTTATAATCTTAATATATTCTTCAGAATAACGTGTCTTATTGAGTTTCTGAAAATTAATAATAGCATAGAGTATTTTTAACTTGCAGCAATCTTTGATAATAGTTCTTCACAGTTTTATTTGCTCAGAATTATGATTTTTCTTTGCCACAACAAGCATCATTGTTAAAATAGCTGTAGCCAACCAGCATAGAAATATCTCAGATTTTGAGAATTAATTGAGTTGATTATCTGGAGGTGGGTATTTTCCACAGTTGTTAATACACTGTATGGGACCCCTGTGTTTCAGAGTTTCTAGTTTGCATCCCACTTCAGATCCAAATTGAGTAGATGATGGCTCAAGAATTTGAACCTTTGCTACCTACGAAGCGATCTAATTGAGTTCTGGACTGCTGGCTTTAGCATTTTTCAGCACAGTTGTTAAAGGAGTTTGGGATGTGAGCAAGTTGATGAAGATCTCTCTGTCTCTTTTACCAAGTCTGTGCATTTCAAATAAAAATGAAAGAAAACATCCAATTATCTATAAGAATGCCAGTTTTTGAAATGACATACCAAGAAACAAGTTAAAATTATTGTGTGAAGTTGGATTGTAAAGGAGATGCATCATTACTGAGAATCATGGCATGTTTGTATATATGCATAGATAGTGTAGATCAAGTACTATACAAAGCCTTATAATTCAGTTAACAGAAGGGGTAAGCACGAGATGTATGAGGCAACTAGTGACCTAATATACCGTACATTTTTATGGTAATTTGTTTTCTGGTGAGTAAAAAGAGCATATATACTCTATGGATAAAACTATTAGATGAAACTATTACTGTTGGTTACCAACATATGCTGTGTAGTAGATCTATGTACTACACTTAACTCCCAACTGCTATTCTACTCTCCAGATGTGCTTCTGGGGCTTGAGCTGTGGCCTTGGAGCCAAGAACCCAATGCTAGTCACCGTGGTTATACCAGAAACCCAGTTACTTGAGCCATCGGTATCTGCTCCCAGGGTTTACCTGACTAGGAAACTGGAGGCAGGAGCTAGAGCCACAGGTCAAACCCAGATACTCTAATGTGAAATGTTAGCATCTTCATCTGAAGTCCAAATGCCTGCTGTGGGCTGTAATTTTATATCACTTGAGGCTTAATAGTTTTGTTTATAGCAGCAACCAGACAAATAAGACAGTAAGGTGTTGCATTGTGTCATCTCCATCCTACAAGGTCACTAAGTGAAATAAATTTTTCAGCTCCATTATATTCTTGTGCAGTTATCATTATATATACACTCCATTGTTGACCAAATGTCTCAATTTAGTGTAGGAATATACTTTAGAACTGTTATTTAAATCATAATAATTAAATAGTATGCAATTTATAGATAAGTAAGGCTGCCCCCAAAACTGGGGAGACCAGGTAGGATCAGAAGTGCCTAGGACGACAGCAGATCAAAGATCTCTGTCTGTCTCTGTTTGTCTCTGTTGTTCCTTCTCCCTCTGTCACTTTGTCTTTCAGATATAAGTAAGTCTTACAGTAAAGAAAGGACAATGAACTGGTCATAGTTTTTGCACTAAAATAATAATAAAAAAACCTGCTTGTTGTGGTTAGTTTACTTCTTAGCTTTACTTAGTTTCCAATGAGGAATTTGTAGTGGTAGTTGTGTTTTACATGTTTTTTCCACATTTGTATAATGTGTCCAAAAGGCAGCTATTTTCAGCGCTTTGAAACTCTTTTACAGATAAGCTCAGAAGCACTAATGCTGCCAACACTAGTTATGTTAAATCCTTTATTCACTAACTACAGGAATCTAGTCCTTCCGTGTGTTGATTTTATACTACAAAAAAGTTTAGAATTAGTGGAAAAAAGGAATTAGTGGAGAATAGCATCAATTTTACTATTTATCTTAAGTATGACATTCCAGATAGATTACAGAGGTGTGTATAGACATTTCTCATTGCTGGTGGTCTATTTTTTAAAGATTAGTTTAGTCTTTATTGGAAAATCAGATATACAGAGATTATGAGAGACAGACAGAAGATCTTCCGTCCCCTGGTTCACTCCCCAGGTAGCCACAATGGCCAGAGCTGAGCGGACCTAAAGTCAGGAGCCAGGAGTCTCTTCTGGGCCTCCCACATGGGTACATATTCCCAAGGCTTTGGTCCGTCCTCGACTACTTTCCTGGGCCACAAACAATGAGCTGGATGGGGAAGTGGGGCTGCTGGGACATGAATAGCAACCCATATGGGATCCTGGCACTTGCAAGGCAAGGACTTTAGCCACTTGGCTACCATGCCAGGCCCTTTTTTTCTTTAATTTAACTGAATTATGCTGTATTTTTCAAATTTTTAAAGTGTATAATGCTATAATCACAATATTAGTGTTGTAGAGCTACGCACACCACTTATATTTTAAAAAATCATTTAGAGTACCTGATTATCTCCTTTTGTCCCCAACCACTTTAGAATGAGAAAATAAAATCCTCCTATTTTTGTATAGGAAAATCCTGCCATTGCTAGTGACAAGTGCATTCAAAACAAACTTGTTACACAACGTTTTATGATCTTCCTTTCCTAAAGCATACCAGCATTGGGTCATTTCATTCTTATGACCATTGTAGATTGCTGTGAACTAAAATGTACATTTCATTTCAATGATGACATTTAAAATATTGCAATAAAATATAAAGAATTGGAGAATACTACTTGCTTGAGTTGAATATAAAATGAAGAGAATGTTTTTCTAAGCCATCAAAACTTTTCTTCCTGATGTATATGGAGTACTATTTCAGCTCTTAATGCTGATTAAGAATTGATGCTATACACACCTAGAATCTATATGTCTTACTCATTTGAGAGGCAAAGAGCCAGAGATAGAAATGAGACTTGTGCCATCCACTGGTGTACTGTCCATGTACCTACAACAATGCCAGCTGGGCCAGGCTGAAGTTAGGAGCTAGGAACTCAATCCAGCTCTTCCTACCCTGAAACTTCCTGGGGATGTGCCTTGTTATGATGCTGGAGTCAGGAGAAAAGCTAGGACTTAGTACAAGACAGATGAATCTTAATCACGAGCCCAAACATCTCCAATGGTTGAAACTTGACAAAATTGTGTGTGCAGTTTTTGAATTGTTAGCTTGTGGTGATGCAAGTAAAAATGGGCAAGTGTTTGGCTCAAGGTTGGTGGGTGCACCATATAAAAGACAACTGAAGCCAGTTTAGAATGTAGGGAGTCTTTATGAACCAGCTGGCTTCTGCCTCCACTCAGAACACCCTGAACTTTCATTGGCAGTGAACTTTTAAAGGAAAAAAACCTACTTACTGCCGGCCTTTACACTGATAAGCAAGCAAGGGTACAGAGCTGCAATAAGCAGGTTAGAGCCAAGATGAGCAATTCTGTAGTTACAGTTTAACTTCTTGGAAATCAGTTCCATTTTTTCATGGGGCTCAGTTCCCAGGCCCTGGTTCTTCCTTTCATGGGCCTATGATCCCAGCACCTGGTCACTCTCTAGGGGAGGAGGATCAGTCTAACCCAGCCAGTGACTGTGGGATACACTCTAGCATTTTTCACTCTGTCAGTAGCAGTTAGAGGTCCCACTTGGAATGCTTGTTAAGCCAATCTAAAACCAGGATCCGGGAGTTTCTTCTAGGTTTTCCATGTGAGTGCGGGGTCCTAAAGCTTTGGGCCTTCTTCAACTGCCTTCCTAGGGTGCTGGAAGGGAGTTGAATGGGAAGTGGGGTATCCAGGATATGAACCTGCATGCATACGGGATCCCTGTGTTTGCAAGATTAGGACTTTAGCAACTGCACTGGGTCCAATTGATTAAAAATAAATAAATAAAAACTTATATCAACATCCTGTGCCTAAAACTGAAATGAAGGAAAAATAAGGTGGTATTATTTATTGCTTTTTTTTCTTTCAGCATTGGTTTACTGAACTACCACCTGTGTTAACATTTGAATTATCAAGATTTGAATTTAACCAGGCATTGGGAAGACCAGAAAAAATTCACAAAAAATTAGAATTTCCTCCAGTTTTATATCTGGACAGGTACAGTCTGATATTCTATAATATTCCATTTTAAGATTAGTAGGAAATTGATTAATTTTGCTTTTTGCTAGTAATCATTAATTATTAATGTAATACTATTTATCAAAGAAGAAATTGCAGGATTCCTATTAAATGGAAGTAGAAAGAATTGTAATCCTGGAATTCTTAAAAGAAATACTTTTTCTATTTAGAATATCTGATTATCTTACAGAATTTCTAACAGATTGCTCTTTCATAGTGCCAGTTTTAATATTGCACTAACTATAAGATCCTTGGAAATGGTAATCATTGCTTTTTTGCTTGTAGGTATATGCACAGAAACAGAGAAATAACAAGAATTAAGAGGGAAGAGATCAAGAGACTTAAAGATTACCTCACAGTATTACAGCAAAGATTAGAAAGGTATTTTATTTTATATGAAATTGTGAGATAACTATGAGAAGTCATGTGACTGGTAACTGTCTACATTTTGAATTTTACGTTTGAGTGACTTATTGTAATATCTCATTTTAAAATGAAATTTTACTTAAATAGTTCTGAGTTTTTTTAGAGATACATACTAATGTATACTTGCATTTAGATGACTTAGTGTTTAAAATCAAATAGATAATAAAATCAACAGATAATATTCCACGTGTTGAAAATAGAAATAAAAGCAAAGCAATCTGGTATTGGATTTTCCTTTTTCATGTGATTAAACTATGCTTGAGCTTTCCATTTAAATAGGTAATAGGTGAATTTTTCTTTCTTGTTTAGATAGAGGATACAAACGGAAATGCCTCTGTGCTTCAGAGAAGCTTTCTAAATGCATCAGTCATATACAGGGTGATTGGGGCTGCCAAGAACACAAATCACACTTGGCTCTTGTCTCACTCTTGTCTGTAGCTTCTGACTACGTATTAAAGAATTCAGAATCTAAACTTTTTTTAAAAAAGATTTATTTATTTATTTATTTATTTTGGAAAGTCATATATATAGAGGAGGAGAGACAGAGAGGAAGATCTTGTGATGATTCACTCCCCAAGCAGCCACAAGGGCTGGAGCTGAGCCTTTCTGGAGCCAGGAGCCAGGAACTTCTTTGGAGCCTCCCACGCAGATGCAGGGTACCAAGGCTTTAAGCCGTCCTCAGCTGCTTTCCCAGGCCACAAGCAGGGAGCTGGATGGAAAGCAGGGCTGCCGGGATTAGAACTGGTGCCCATATGGGATCCCGGATGTGTAAGGTGAGGACCTTAACCACTACGCTACAGTACTGGGCCCAGAATCTAAACTTTCAAATGTTAATACAGAAATGTCACCTGAGGGATTCCCATTTATAATATCTGTCAATCTCTTAATTGGTATTAGATTAATACTGTTATATATGATTAACATAATATAATATAAAATATAATAAACATAATATAATATGTATAAGTAAAGTACTTTAGTGTTAAAAGTTAATAGCCTAACAGTTCTCATACAAAATAATTTGTTATGTTAGCAATTTTTGTTCATGAAAAATATCATAATTATATCAAGAATTATCAGAGGTTAAAAGGTAGGAAGATAGTAGGAGTCATTTTTTTTTGAGATTAAATGACATCTAAAAATGGAAGCAGTCTTTGAAGGCTTTAGGATTTCCAGTTTTCATCTTCCTGTTGAGTCAGATTTTAGGGGTAGCATTTAGAAATCATTAAAATGTATAAATGCATTCAGCCTCAATCACCTTTGGTTTCCCTTATTTTTATCTTGTTGCAGAACATTTAATTATTTTCGGACTTGTATTCAGTTTTGCCTTCTTTGTACACTGATGCATTTCTTTATTGAAGATTTATTTTAAGTGTTATGCCATGTTTCATATAAGAATTATATTTTTTTAAAAAAACAAAAATACTGTATAAGTAAAAGCTTCCATGTTTTATGCTTCACAGATATTTAAGCTATGGCTCAGGTCCCAAACGATTCCCCTTGGTGGATGTTCTACAGTATGCGTTAGAATTTGCCTCCAGTAAACCGGTTTGCACTTCTCCAGTTGATGATATTGATGCAAGTTCTACATCTAGTGGTTCCATATCCTCACAGACATTATCAAGGTAGAAGGGTTTCTTGATGCAGGAGACACCTGCTTCACCTGTAGTAGTACATCGTAAAGTAATTAAGATCTTCAAAGATAATTTTATATTGTAGATTATTGCAATATGTTCTTAATTCACATAGATGATTTTGTATCTTGTGTTGGAGCTTTCTTATTTCATTACTTTAGTATATTTTAGAATTGTAGATTGATGTTTTTACCATTTATTCAGTTAATTATACTTTATGTTACTTTCGTATCTAGTTATTTAAGTTTTAATTTTCTGGAAGATTTATTTATTTTCATTGGAAATTCTGACATACAGAGAGGAGAGGCAGAGAGGAAGATCTCTCTCCATTGATTCACTCCCCAAGTGGCTGCAACAGCCAGAGCTGAGCTGATCAAAATCCAGGAGCCCAGGGTCATCTCCTGATCTCCCACATGGGTGCAGGGATCCAAGCCTTTGGGCTGTCCTTGGCTGCTTTCCCAGGCCACAAGCAGGGAGCTGGATGGGAAGCGGGGCTGCTGGGATTAGAGGCGGCGCGCATATGAGATCCTGGTGTATTCAAGGTGAAGACTTTAGTGGCTAGTACCATGCTGGGCCCAAGTTTTAATTAGTTAGTAAATAGTTTAAAAGCATATCAAGATTTAGAAATGGACAGATATGTTTCATCTACTGATTCACTCTGCAAATGCCTGCTACAGTTAGAGCTGGACCAAGGACCTGGAATGTGGCATATTTCTGCTGTCTGAGTGGCAAGTACCCATGACACTGAATAATTACCTGCTGCCCCATAGGATTTATAGAGCAAAAACCTGTAATTAGGCATCCACCCGGGACTTGAACCCTGGCATTACAGTATTTGATATGGTTATCCCAAGCAGCACCTTTAACTTCTGCACCAAATCCCTTGTCCCAGGTTCAGCCTTCCTTGATCCTTGGAAGCAATACTGTTAAGTCAAGAATTGTATGGCCCACATTTTGGCACAATGGATTAGATAGGCTCCTTGGAATGCCACCATCCAATATGTGCATGAAGTCAGTTCCTGGCTGCTCCACTTTTATCTGGCTCTCTGCTAATATGTATAGGAAAGCAGCAGAGGTATTCTGGATATTGGTCTCTGACACACACCTGGGAAATGTCAGTGGGGATCCAGGCTCCTGATTTTGGCTTGACCCATGCCCAGCTGTTGTACTCATTTGGGGACTGAACCAGCGATTGAAAGATCTCCTTTTTGTGTATAGCTCTATTGTTTTGCTTTTTAAATAAATAAAATAATTAAAATCAATTTGGTGAATTAATATGAGCTGCCAAGTATTATCAAGAAACAAGTCTGCAGATTGTTTTGTCACTGATTAAAAAACAAAAAGTTGTTTTCACTTTAAAGCCAACAGTTCATTCTTTTAATAATTTCATACTTATGTTATGGAAGTCTTATTATAATATTAGATTTATTAATTTTTAAAGATGTTTTCAAATTGGAAGCTACTTTAATTCCTATGTGTTTGTCATTATTTTTGTCAAGATATTCAGGTTAAAATTTAATAGTAAATATTCTATGCTTTGAAAATATAGTCCAGCAGAGCCACAGGGAGCCTCTTCTTCAGAACTGCCAAGCACCTCGCCTTCCTCCGTTTCTGCCATTTCAACGAGAGCAGTGATACACAAGCCGTTCACCCAGTCTCGGATACCACCAGATTTGCCCATGCATCCAGCACCAAGGCACGTAACAGAAGAGGAACTTTCTGTGCTAGAAAGCTGTTTACATCGCTGGAGGACAGAAATAGAAAATGACACGAGAGGTAAGACAATTCTGGTATGCCTATTAAAACTGATATAGAAAATCACCTCTGAACATCAGAAACATTTAAAGTCATGGTTTTTTTTTTATTTTTTTAAAGATTTATTCTTATTTATTTATTGGAAAGGCGGACATACAGAGAGGAGAGACAGAGAGGAAGATCTTCCTCTGATGATTCACTCCCCAAGTGAGCGGAACAGCCAATGCAATGCTATGCCGATCCAAAGCCAGGAGCCTCTTCCGGGTCTCCCACATGGGTGCAGGGTCCCAAAGCTTTGGGCCGTCCTGGACTGCTTTCTCGGGCCACAGGCAGGGAGCTGGAAGGGAAGCGGGGCTGCCGGGATAGAACTGGGATCCCGGGCGTGCAAGGTGACGCTCCTAACCACTGCGCCACCGCGCCGGGCCCTAAAGTCACGTTTTTTCCAGAAATAGTTTAATGTAAGATGAAATAGTGTGACTACTCATGCTCCTGATCAAGTTAACAGGAGTCAACAGATTTCTTGTAATATAAGTAACTGATAATGACAGATAAAAAGTCAGATGGTCTGATTTTCTGGTTTAGTGCTCTAAATTTATATCAGACTGATACAGCTTTCTCCATTGGTAAAATGTTACACAACTCATTTTTTGTACGTGTCATTTTTGTGCTTCTCTTGATGTTTACTAAATAGAGAAGCTCAAGTAATAAGAAAAAAAAGCTTTATTCTTAAGAACTAGAAATGAAAATTTCAATTTTTAAATATGTGAAAATAAAGATTTCCAAATGTGATTTATGGACATAGTACCTGTCTGTTACCGGATATTAAACCAACATAAAGCAAGTAAGGGATGTAAGGGCATACTATGTGTGTGTATGTGTTTGAGAGAGAGAGAGAGAGAAAGTATGTGTGTGTGTGTGTGTGTACAAGTTGCCATTCCATCCTTTCATGAAAGAAAATCTATAGTTTGAGTTTATCTGTTTCGTTTGTTGTGAAGATGTGCGCTTATTTTAAATAAATGAGGTGAATACTTCATAGCTTTTATAAATTATCTTTTTCTTTGCATATCAGAATCCTCCATTTTAACCTAACCTGGTTTTATGCTGAATTTTTTAGTATGTGAAAAAAAAGTGAAAATTGCAATTTTATTTTGCAGAGTTGGAATTTATTAGATAATGCTGATGGGTTTTATATTACCAACTTTTTACTCTTAATAAGGGACAAATTTGAGAGGGAATAAGTAGGTAATTATAGTGACTAAAGCATCCATTAATATGTGTATAGATTTTTCTTACTTTTTATATGTAAAGCATTTTTTTTTTTTATATTTAGACTGTTCAACAAGAACTGATTCAACATAGAATGTTTACCAAACCCTGCTAACTGTTGGATGATTTCCTGCCAATATTGGCAATTAATTTTTTAGAATTAAATTCAGAAGGGTGAAGGCTCCTCAGCTTTTAATGGTCAAGTAGTGGTGTTTCTCCTGGGAGACTATTGAGAAATGTGGGTCAGTCTTATGTATGCAATGGACAATGGGTTCAGGTGTGATTCTTAGTTCTTAATGATGTAAGAAGCCAGATGGAGTGTACTTGACAGAGGGATGGAGCTGCGCATCCCCCTCGATCAGGAGAGGGAATAGGAATGTGAGTTCATATTTTTAAATAGATTTGTTTTCCTTGAAAGTCAGAGAGAAACAAGAGACAAAGATCTTCCATGTATTGACCAGCTCCTCAAATGGCTGCAACAGCCAGCGCAGGGCTGGCCTGAAGCTGGGAGCCAGCTGCTTCTCAGTCTATGTGAGTGCTGGGGCTTAGGCTGTGCTCCATCCTCTGTTGCTTTCCCAGACCAGCAGCAGGAAGTGGGATCAGAAGAGGACCAGATAGGACAAACTAGCACCTATGTATGTTTCAGGCACCACAGGTAGAGGATTGGCTGACTATACAACTACACAAGACCCATGAGCTCATTTTTGACTCCTAGTTTGAGAAGTTTAATGGAGATTTGCATCATAAGGTATAGATTAGGAATGATTTTCCCTGGAAATTTTGTGTTCTGTCTTTCATCCTTGTTGATAGTAGCTGTTCACATTGTTTTTAATTATTATATAGTACTCCAATTGATTTGTAAGATATAGTTTACTTAATTTCCATATGATAGTTGCTGGTCTTCTACGCACATACATGTATAATCTAGGTTGTATGTTTAGTATTTATTTATTTCCAAGGCAGAATTATAGAAAGGGAAGGTGGGAAATATCTTCTATTAGCTCACTCCCCAAATAACTGCAGTGGCTGCTGTTAGGCCACGTCAAAACCCGTACCCTGGAGCTCCATCCAGGTCTCCCAGCTGGGGGACAGGAAACCAGGCACTTGGGTCGTTATCTGCTGCTTCCCCAGGCTCAGTTAGGAGGGGGCTGGGTCTAAAGCGTAGCAGTCAGAACTCCTAGCATTCTTGCTGTCTGCCCACATTGCAGTCGGCAGCTCATCTGTACTGCAGTGTAACAGTGCTATTTTTTATTCTTAGTGTATACATCTTAAATTTAATTACTATTTTAAAAAATTGCCTTCAAGGCGGCTTCTGTAGTGTAGTGAGTTAAGCCAAGGGAAAATTGTACTCGCTCGCTCTCTCTGCCTCTCTCTTCCCCCCCCCCTTCCCCACCCCCTCTTTTTCTGTTTTCCATTCTGTCACTCTGCTATTCAATTAAATAAATAATGAATCCGTTTTAAAAATTCTCAAAGCTTACAGTCATGTGAGTTGCGTGTGGAAAAAGTCTATCAGCTATTCCTATAGTTTTTGCTTTTTAATTTTTGGTAACTTAAGAGTAGCAAAAAATGATATTTCAGTGTCTTACTTTCCTTAATGGTAGGTGAAGTTTTACATTGATATGTATAAGTGAATCTTTAACTTAAAACACGGTGACTTTTGCTACTATGGTTTTTCGTATTGCTTAATAGACAGGTTAATGTGTTTTGAGTGTTAGCTTTTGGCCAATAGTGTAGTTTGTCAATTTGACAATACTTTTATTTATATTATCTTTGTTATGATAATGCAGATTTCTTATAAGTTTTAGGTTTGAAGGTCTTATATTTTTCTTTATGTTTAGTGAGATGGGGGTGGGGAGAGAAAAAGAGATACTGAGAGCTAGCAGACACATGCCACCTCTGCTAGTTTGCTCCCCTTATACCTGCAACAGTTGGGACCGAAGTTGGCAGCTATGAAGACAGGCTAGGTTTCCCGTGTGGGTGGTACGAACCTAGTTCCCTGAACAATCCGTGCAGCTTCTCAGGATCCGCATTATCATTAGCTGTAGTGGGGAGTGGGAACCAAGATAAGTCCAGCTATGGTGGGTTAGGATGCTGGCATCTAACTATTAGGCTAAAATGTCTGCTCTTGGTCACTGGATTTTTATCAGACCTGATGGCTCTTTTCCCCATTTTAAAGTTAATAATATTTTCTCATAGTTTTCATGGCATCTTTCTAATTCTTCTGCACAAGCATCATAGTATCAGGTGGTTATAATTTATCTGTTTTTATTTAGAGATATTTAGAGAAGCTCCCATTTAAAAAATTATGAAAATTATAGATGTGCCCATTCTTATGTATGGCTAACTTTGCACAATAATTTTTACTTGAAATGGAATTAATGTGTAATGGAAAGTCCAAACTTTATTTTTTATGATATGATATTCATGTGTGTATATGCATAATCATGAAATTGTAGTGCAGTGATTTCATTTTCTCCCTAAGTTCTCCTGTTTTTATCAGTATGTAAGGTTTAGTTTTAACTTTTATTGAAATCCATTTTTATACACTTGGAAATAAGTCAATTTTATTGGCTCTGTATATTTTCTAGATGAATAATGTTCATCATTAATGTTTTATGTGTTTCTTAATTTGAAAGGGAGAACAGATAGAAGGAAAGATTTTTGCATCCTTTGGTTTTCTCCCCAAAATGCCTGCCCTAGCTGGGCCTGAATCAGTCCAACCCAGGAGCCAGTAGCTCCTCAGGGATCTCCCGGAATGATGACTTCCTCGAGTGTTTAGGCCCTCTTCTCTGGCTCGGCAGCTGGCATTGGCACGAAGCTAGAAGACAAATGAAACTGGGACTTGATTCTTGGTAGTGTGATGTGAGATTCAGATATCTCCAGTAATGACTTAATGAGCTGCACTACAACCATGCTCCTGTTTTGGTTTTTAATAATCTATTTGTGTTGTTTTATTAAGGAGAACTGTATCTCAGCTTTTACAGACTCTAAAAGTAATAGTCTTAAAAAGGGGAGGAGAAATTGTTCTTATTTCTTGTCATGCTTATAATTAGAACTTTAGTCCTTAGTTTGTCTCAGTGAAAAACACACTTGATATTAGTCATTAAATGATACCTTATAATTTTAGATTTACAGGAAAGCATATCCAGAATTCATCGAACAATTGAACTAATGTACTCTGACAAATCTATGATCCAAGTAAGTGAGATTTTGAAATATCATGAAGAATATTTGCATGTATTTTAATTTATTGTGATATTATCTTGATCTTTTCAATGTTTCATGGCATAATTTGATAAGTATGTTATAAAATAAACATTTTGTTAGGGAAAAGGATAACTAATAGTTTGAGAGTACAACTGAATGAAGACAATTTTACAAGTTTTAGAACTGATTTCCCTCATCTGGTTGTGTTCCCTTCTTGCCCTATTTAATTTTTTTTAGAAACATATTTGTTTATTTATTTGCGAGTCGGTTGGAGAGAACGTAGCAGAGGCACCGATACATCCTCCGTTAACCGACATTCTCCTCACAAGCAGCCACAACAGCCAGGCCAGGCCAGGCTCAGTTCAGGGTGGCGGAATACTGACTGGGGTCTCCCACGTGGGCGGCAGGAGCCCAAACACTGTGGTCACCTGTTGCTGCTTTGCTTGGGCCATAGCAGCGATCTGAACGAGAAGTCAGCAGCCAGAAAATGGAGCAGCACCCGCATCTGCAGCAACGCAGATGGCAGCTTTACCAGCATGCCATGTGTTCTGTCAAGCTTTTTGAAAAGCTCCTACGTACTGTTAAAAAAGTAATGTTGCCTAAGGAAGAAAAATTGTGGAAGAAACTCAAGGCTCATTTATATTTTAACTTCTGGTATACATTTTGTAATCCATTTATTGAGTCATAAATTTATGATTGCAAATATTAGACATTTCATGTGTTCCATATAAAAAGTTTATCCTAAGTTTTTTATTTAGAAGAAATAGAGTTCAATAAATATATTTGCAACAAATACATTTTTCAAATTTGAAAAATAATCTTCAAAAAAATCTACACATCTGCTTCATTGATGTGTGTTTAGTATATTTAACTTCCTTTTTTGATGTAAGTCTTAAGAAATAGTCTCGTTAATTTTCTCATTTAAAAAAAATCTGCAGTTATCGTCAAATACATATTTTGTGGGTTTCATGAACTGTTATACAATAGAAAAGTAATTTTGGTTTAAATCGCCACCTCCTACCCCTTTATAGGTTCCTTACCGCTTACATGCTGTTTTAGTTCATGAAGGCCAAGCTAATGCTGGGCACTACTGGGCATACATTTTTGATCATCGTGAAAGCAGGTGGATGAAGTATAATGATATCGCTGTGACAAAATCAACATGGGAAGAGCTAGTGAGGGACTCTTTCGGTGGCTACAGAAATGCCAGTGCCTACTGCTTAATGTACATCAACGACAAAGCACAGTTCTTGATACAAGGTAAGATAGTGAAATAAATAGGTTTAAATATAGCATTCTTTTTTGTCTAATTTCTGTTCAGCTCTTAATTTGGTTTAAGTGTCATCTCCCCAGTTGAGTTTTTTTCTTCACCTTCTAGAAAAAGTGTTTACTTGTGTTTTTGTAGCGTATGTATTTTGGACATTTGTTGTTGCTTGTTGAAACTGTCTGTGGGCTGTGTGCTTCTAAAGATTTGTTGAAGCTGATAAAATGAACTTTACTTTTATGTGTCAATATGTTTAACTTTAGGCAGTCTATTAATAATAGGAAAGATAAAGTTGATATTGCATGGTCTAGTATTTTTGTAGTGTTTTGAAAAATTTTGCTATTGATTAGCTTTTGTAATTGCATGTTTTTATCACTATACTACTTCAAATGAAAAACAATTTTAGTTCCATTGCAAGATTATGACTTTCTTTTCATGTTCTGAAAGTTTTATTTTATTAATAATGAAGTATTTTTTAAATAAGTTTTTGAAGTAACAAAGCTATAATTTTTACTCAAATTTTAAAAATCTGACAATTTTATCATTCAGAGATATTACATCATTTTTCTGGATATTTGTTTTTGTTTTTTAAAGTTTTAAATTACAATTTTCCTATACAAGTCATAGTTTAAAATCCCAATTCGGACATGTTTTATTTTGGACTTTGCATTTTTTCTTTAATTCATGATCTTATACTAGTTTTTGAAATATGATTTGCAGAGGAGTTCAATAAGGAAACGGGGCAGGCTCTTGTTGGAATAGAAACGTTACCACCAGATTTGAGAGATTTTGTTGAGGAAGATAACCTGCGATTTGAAAAAGAACTGGAAGAATGGGATGCCCAGCTTTCCCAGAAAACTCTGCAAGGAAAGCTTTCAGCATCTCAGAAGTCAAGGGAGTCTGAATCCACTGTGAAAACAGGTTTGTCCGTTTTTATTAAGTTGTATTTTATTTATAATCAAGGCTCTTCCATTTTTTTTAAAATTTTGTAAATAAAAAGTCACAGCCAACAGTTTTGTTTCCTGCTTTGCCAGATAACACTTGCTTAAACAAGTTGAGTAGCACTTACACAGTGTGGCCAGAAGTTGTTCTGAGGTTTTTAGATTTTGGAATATTGACATAAACTTTATAGCGGTAAACTGTCTGAAATCTGAATATGAGAAATGCAAAATATTCCAAAATCAGAAACTTTTGGGATTTTGGATCTCCTGGCTAATGATGCTCAACTTCTGCGTATCCTTTTTGGGTATCTGAGATACTTCATTGATTCTGCCTAGCCTGCCTACTCTTGTGTGAGCTTGACTCTTCAAACTCTTCAAACAGGCTTTGGAGATAACGTGAAACATAAACTAATTCAGAACTACAATGTGAACTTTAGTAGCTTTAAACTAGAATAAAATAATGCAATTGATATACCCTTGTGTATTTTATATGGTGCTAAAATAGCACTTTTAATGGGGAATATATATTTCCCCAAAACTAAATATTTGATATATTCCAAGTGAAAATGTATAGAACTTTAAAGCAGAGATAAGCATATAGAAATAAACATAAAAATGTTACTAGATAAACTGTTAGCTGATGAGAATAACAGAGTATTGCAATTCTTACTGTATAAAAATGATGAAAGTATACTTTTTAAATGGAAATGGTTCTTTTAATTTTTGAAAGAATGATTCTGTCATCTGATATGCAAAAATATATTACCTTTCAAATGTTTCTCTGTTGTAGTTTAATAAATAAGATAAAAATTAAACCCAGAGGTTTTCCTCAAACTCATTTATTTTAAAAATAGAATGGTAAGTTTTTTGAGTAAACTTCTTTGTTTTTGTTTTGTTTCGTTTTTCTTTTATGCAAGGTTTATGTGTTTTGCTTTTATCTAAGGAAAAGTTTCAGAAGTTTGATTGTTACATACATCATTACTTTTGTGAATTTTACATTATCATTTTGGACTTAAGGAATTATTCTTTTCATAGAAAATTTACAGTGCCACAATACAGCATTGGCAGTAGCACAGACATGTACAGCTCTGTCTATATTTATTGCTTATTTTCATGTAAGTTGAATAATTGTCACTGATTTTGATATTGAGGAAAATAATTCAGATTTTCCAAGGTAATGGTATTGTACAAGGAAAGATGCTAACACATCAGTACTTAAACATCATATGGTATATACCCTTACAGTATCTACTGAGTTAGATCTACACCTGTTCATTGAGCTTTCTTGTTATGTATTCATGGATGTCATGTAGACTGCAGTGACATCTGTGGATCTACAACAGTTAGCTGTCAGTGAGTATAAGGAGTTTTTTTTTTTAATTCAAATCAAAGTGACCATATTATAGTTCCTTTAATTTAGAGACCTGTTCCATCCCTTGGTGACGTCTTCCTTTGTCTTCTGTAATAGACTTCCTGCTTACACTGTTCCCCCAAACTTGTCCCAGATGGAGCTAATGTGTTGTTCCCCAATAGTGTTCTAGCACTGTGTTTGCATGTAGCTGTCCCTGCCCTGCTGTTATAAATGGAAGGAAGTGACTGTATCCTTGCAGTGTTAGTAAGTGGCACCTGAGCATTCACAGTCAGTCTTTGTTGATTGATTAAGCTTCAACCATATTCCTGGTTCTATGTTTTGTGATAACAAAATACTAAATTCTTCATCTTGTTAGTTTATCATGAAGCTCTCTAAATTGACAGAGTAAGCACATTTTATTTCTTCCAAGTCAGACTTATTCATATTCTCCCCAGTAATACACCTAGCTGATAAGGACTAGCCTCTCGACATCTTATTTCTTACCTTTCATGTTTGTCATCCTATTCTCTGTAAAAAGGCCAGATTACATGCCCTACACTCTGTTTTCTCTTTTATGAATAGTGCCTCCTACCATGTTCTCGAAATGCTGTTTCTGTCTTTAAAAATGTAACACTAAGTATTGATCATATGTATCCATGTGTCTTTTTTTATTATGTCAAACAAATATGAAGCCAGTGCATGTATTTCTAAGTTAGACTAGCTTGGGAGATAGATGGCCATTGTTAGTTCATGTGTGATAGTTACAGTAATCATCTTCCAGACTTGGCTTTAGAAAGCTGCAGCAATACGTCTTCGTTAGGGAGCTTTGTGTCATCCATAGAACAGACAGAAATATGTATTTTGTGTGAGTTAGTAGAAATAGAATGCATAGTCAGCATTTTGAGATTAAGGTTACTATTGAGATTGCTTTATGTTATTGTGTTGTCTTGGATACTGTATTAAGTAATTCATTCTCTTATGTTGGGGAACTTATATCACACATGAATATAGCTAACGTTAAATGAGAATGACTCAGAATGACATGTCTCCTATCATTAATAGAAAACTTTTTATTTTAATGTTCATATCATCATTTTCCTACTTGTTTAAATAGTTTTCAAAATAGTTTTATTTGGTATGCTTCCAGGACCTTAGAGAGAACCTGTGTTTAAGTCTCTGTTTTGTACTAGGATAATGAGTGAAGAGAAGTAACAAAAATACATCATATTCATAAAATCCAGTGGAATGATTTTTCCTTCTGTCCTTGAGAAACATTTTCAATAATGCTGTGCGTGAGAAGCAGTAAAATCTATCATATATAGAAAAATCAAATACCATTTGTACAAATATATATGCACACACATATCTGTACTCTAGGCCAATAAATTTGTGTGTATCAATTCTCCGCCCCCATTAATACTTCTAGGCAACAATTTTTCACTGGAGCTTTAGACCTCAGAATTTCCAGGAGTGGGTGGGGGGTTCTGTGTATTAAAACTCGATGTAGTTACTGGATTCACAATCTGTGGAGGATAGTACCAGAATATATGCTGTTGAAAGGTATTTAGATAATGCTAAGATGTACTTCATGTTAAATAGCCTGATTGTAGGTTTATGAAATGAAAAAAATATTCTGAAAAGCACTGTGAAACAGTTGAGATCCTTATATATAGTACCCTTGGATTTTAAAGCTATATAAGTAAGTAAGAAACTGAAATAAGGGTAGAAGAGAATAAAGTGAATATGGTGAATATATTCTAAACATACACCATAAGAATTTATAAAATGTCTTGAAGTAGGAGGCTGAATTGATCTGGGGCATCTCTGGGAACACTGTTGACAAGTTAAAAATAGGCCTGTAGGATGAACACCGTTTTCCGCATTTTGAGGAACGTTGAGAGCATTGACTATAGTGTTCTTAATTTTACCTCCACATCAGTGTAATGAATGACATATGGTAGATGTCCCAAGTTTCTTTTTTAAAAAATCATTTGTTTGAAAGACTTACAGAAAAAAGAGGGAGTGGGAAGGGAAAAACGAATAGAAGTAAGGAAGGAGGGCGGGGGGAGGGAAAAGGAGAGAGAAGAATTGAGGAGGAGTGAGAAGCCTTCTGTCAGTTGCTTCACTCTCGAAATGGTCCCATCAGTGAGTGCTGGCCCATACTGAAGCCAGGAGCCAGGAGCTTCCTGTGTCTTCCATGTGAATGCAGGTAGCCGTTTTCCCCGCTATTAGCAGGGAACTGGATTGGAAGTGGAACAGCTAGACTCTCACCAGTGCCCAAATAGAATGATGGTGTTACAGCTTGTGACATAACCCACTTCACCATGATGCAGACCCTGCTACATGTTTTCTCCATGGAATTTTCTACCTTTGGAGATTCCAATGATGAGTAACAAGGGGGTGTGTCTCAATCTAGCAAGATGTGAGATTGTAAGGTATAACCAGAATTTTATACAGTAGGAAGGTAAGATTAAAAACTGTGGTAAGGATGTAGCTCTGTATTCTAGATAAAATTGTAGGCTTGCCTGCTGGTCTCTCAAGTTATCTTTGTAGTGGTACCCATGTATCTGAAGTTGCAGAAGTTCTACTGGAGATTTTATGCAGCCACTCTATAGACTGCTTTCAGGGAATCATTGATTTCAAGTTCATTCCTAGAAATAGATAAACTTCATATATCTCAATCAATACTGTTTTTTAAAGAATTTATTAATTTATTTGAAAGGTGAAATTAGAGAGAGGCAGAAGCCGGGAGCCAGGACTGCATCGAATTCTCCCATGTGGGAGAACATGAAAGATAAACCGGTCATGTGTATGTAAGAGTATAGACCATTGCTGGAAATTCTTTTTTTTTTTTAAGATTTATTTATTTATTGGAAAGTCAGATATACAGAGAGGAGGAGAGACAGAGAGGACGATCTTCCATCCGATGATTCACTCCCCAACTGAGCGCAACGGCCGATGCTATGCTGATCCAAAGCCAGGAGCCAGGAACTTCCTCCAGGTCTCCCACATGGATGCAGGGTCCCAAGGCTTTGGGCTGTCCTCGACTGCTTTCCCAGGCCACAAGCAGGAAGCTGGATGGGAAGTGGAGCTGTTGGGATTAGAACGGGCACCCATATGGGATCCCAGGCATTCAACTCGAGGATTTTAGCAGCTAGGCCACGCTGCCGGGCCCATTGCTGGAAATTCTTATGTGGAGGTAGGACATTGGAGGATCCTGGTGAAGCGTCTGTAGAGTAAATAAATGATCAGAGGATACTTCAATTGCAAGGACATATGGTACATCAGGCATTGAGAAATTAGCACATTTTGGAGTTTGTATTACAGGTGAATATCAAAGACCTCTAGGAGTTAAGAATAACAAGTACTGCAGAAGTAACTAGCTATTTTTCAAATTGTAACCTGAAAAAAAATATATTAAACTGGGGCACCAGTTACTGTATAAAGTTTAAAAAAAAAAACAGGTGGTGGGGGGCATAAACAGGTGTCGAAAAAAAATGTTTGCTATTAAGTTCCTACCTGACCTGAATCATTGCAATTTTTATATGGTTGTAGCATGAGCAAAAAAATTGTATATTTCATGATAAAACCAAACTTTGTCTGCTAGTGTGTTTAGAAAAAAAAAATATAAGTATTCACTAAAGTATTGTGTGCTTCCTGCAAAAATATGCACCATAACTAGAAAAGTTACATACTGAATGCTTAAGTTGACACCATTTTATAGGGATTACTTTTTATTCTTTAAGTATGGGTAGGTAGGTAAATATATATATGAGAAATATTAATGGTGCTTATTTTGAAGCAGTGGAATGTGCTTTAAATTTTTCTTATTTTGCACTTTTTACACACTGGATAAAATGAAGATGATGCCTCTTTTTTTTTGAGACTTTTTTGTTTTAATCTGAAACCATTCTAATACTTTCTGGATTATTTTTATTTGAATTCCCTGTATTTCTACCTAAACTAAATCACTTATGCCTCTTGCATTTCATTTCAGACATTTTTCTGTTATCAATATTATATTGCTTGTTCTTGAAAAGGTTGAGGCATCATCAATAAAAATTTCCCATTCTTTTAAGATTTTCTTCTTGTCTCTGAGTCTTTATGGATCATTCTCAGGTCATATTCTTCTTTGTGTTGTACTGATATTTTGACTTACCAATAGCAAGGATCTTTGGTGAATGTTTCATTACTTCTTATCTGTTCTTACAGTGCTTTTGCATGTGCTCTTACTTCTGCCTGGAACCCTGTCCTTTCTCATCCTGAAGATAATCTCTACAAATCCTCCAGAACTCTGCTCAGTTTCCATTTCTGCTAGAAAATATTTACTAACGTGTAACATTATCTCAAGAGTTTGTATTCAGTCTAATGTGGGCTTTAGAGAACCCTTGTATGTAACTTTGTTATTATATTTAGTGCATTGTATTTTAATAGAGTACTTGCTTATCTAATTTTGCTGAGAACTTCTTAATAATGGATTATGTAAATTAACAAATTAAAGCATTGTGCAGTGCTAAAAATGACAGTCAGTAAATAGGAATGCAGTTGGAATGATGTTACAGTCTCCCTGATGTGTTCAATCTTTTTATGTTTACCTATGGTGATTACCACACTATAGTTTCTGTTGGAAAGTGTTTGGGGGAGGACAGGATGTATGTATGATGCCCTCTAGGGAAAATAGTTCTGATTGATATCTAGAGAAAATCAGTTGTCACTACTTATGTTATGTCTGGACCCAAACGTCTGTGTGGAGGTATTGCTGATACACTAAAATGTATTTGGCTGTATTGACCAGCTAATATTAAATCTTAATTCTAGGGAGTTGTTTTACATAAATTCCAAGTATCTGTAAGTTGGACCAGCTTCAGAGTAGATGTGTTTCTTGGCTCTCATTGCATTAGGTTCCAGTTACACAGGCAATGATTGACATCATTTGTTATTGTGGAAAGGTATAAATGACAAACAGGAGGGAATGCAGTTAAGTCTTAGAGCAACTGTGTAATACATCATTCATGAAATTGTCAATTAATACCTGCACTGCTAAACCAGAAGTAGTTTGTTTTCACTACCCTTCCTATCATGTAAGAACACTGAAAGGGTATCAGTCCAAAGCTGCTTCTTCATTATATAGACATTCATTTTACATCTGTTTTTCTATTTACCCTTGCCAATACTTGGAAGTTATCTGAATGTGCAAGTATCCAGACCTTTGTGTCTAATGGATGCTTTGAGTCTAACAAATTCCTTTTACTACACTGTTGCATTTTATCTAAAAGTATAGTCTTTCCATCTTGTTCTAATACCTTCTAGTGGTTACAGTGGCTTCTGGTTATATTATTCTTTGCAGTGTGGCCAGAGTAAACTTAGAAACTTTTCATATTGCCGTTGTATTTAAAACTTCATTTCCTGACACACTCAAAACTTTTAAGTGACTTGAAGCTCCTGATTTTCCCTAGCTGCTCGTGATTTTCCCTAGCTGCATCTCTTGCTATATCTATACTCTTGTACTATAGTCTAGTCACACTTTTCATTGGGTCTTTATTCTTCCATCTGGCAAAGCAACTGCCTTATCCTCCAGCTTAGAGATCAGTTTGTCATGTAGCCCACAATCTAATTTGCACAGCCACCACCCTATCACCATCTATCCCTAGATATTTGCTTAATATGGTCACACTTATATTTGCTATTCTTTGGTTACTGATTTTTTCCGTGGTTGATGTAAGCTTTTTGGAGGGAGAAACTGGTGAATTCCATGGCATCAGGAGTCCCACAACCTAGTGTAAAACTTGGCTGTTGGTAGAGGCTTAAATGAAATTTATTGTATAGATGAGTGACTTTACATGTACAATGGAATGATATGACTTCCTTTTTAATAATAAATAACTTGGCAAACATTTGAAATGTTGGCGAGCGTGATAGTTTGTCAGCAAGTAGTTAAACAAATAATTAGTTTCAATAATAGAACATTTTAGTGTTTTCCTCATATCCAATAATCAGTTTAGTTATTAGTTCATTTGTTCCATTAAGTTACTGGATACCTTTCCTATGGTAATGTTAAAGAATTAGTAATGCATAAGCAGAAGAACAACTTTGGTCTTAATATGCGTACAGTCTAACAATGGATGTAGACTGAACAAACAGCAGTAATTAAATTGTGACAGTGTGAAATGCTTTTTTAAAGGAAAGTATAAGTTACTCTATTGCAGTGATTTTCATCTGCAAGTTGCTTTTTATCCCTCAAGAGGCACAACTTCAGACATTATTGGTTGCCGATCAAGAGCAAGGTTTTTAGTACATCAGTCACATCAAGATGAAGCTTGGCAGTAATATTGACTTGTAGTGGGGAGGTGCTGAGTTCACAGACAGCCTTCTACTTAACAAAGTCATCTGAACCGGAAGTCTTAGTAATGCTGAGGCTGGCACCTGGCAGTCCTTCTGCAGCAGTGGAATGATCAGCCCTATAAGAAAATGAGTAGAAATTACCAGATTAAGGGAATGAAAGAATAAGTAAACATATAGATAGGAGGAAAAATAGAAGAGGAGACCTAAAGTTTGGAAGGGGACTTCTTGGGAATATTGAAAGGTTTAAACCAAAAGGTTGGTGTGCCAGCATTTTTTAACAAAGGGCAAAATACATAAGATATTGTTGTAGAAAAAGACAGAGATCCACAAATACAAAGTCGTATGCATGCTATAAAGGGTTGGGGTTGCTGGAAGTAGCCGGGTTACATAAATAGAATGTTTTGGTATGCTAAGTTCTCAGGCTCCGATAAGTAAGAATTTGAGATACAATTTTGAATGTTCTTCATATGATTGACATTTAAAGTTATGAATTTTCATGGTAGTGGTTTGCCAACTTGTGCTTGCTTTTCTCGTGTCAATATTTGGCTATTAGAGGTTGATTCAGAAGATAGACGGTTAGGTTTACTCAATCATAGGGTTGATCTGGTAGGTGTGAAAACTGTTACCTAGTCAGAGAAAAACAATTACTGTGCTCTCTGGGAGACCCAGCCCATAACTGTTACATGAGCCAGCTTCATTTTTATATATTTGGTAAACTGCCTGTTTTTTTTTCAAATTGAGATTTTGATACTTCACACAGAAGAAAAATTTACTGTGAATTTCTTACATAAACTATTACCAGTGCTTTCTTTAGCAGTTAATTGAGTATATCTTGTTCTGCATTTTCGGTGTTGTGTAAATTTTAGGGGAAGGGAGGGAAGTAACTCTATTGAAAACTAAAATTGGTTATTGTATAATTTCCGAATTAGAAATAACAGATTCATCTTAGTATAGACTCTGTGATTTATATTAGAGATACAATTGATTCTTTTCTCATAAAGCGCAAGCAGGAGAACCAGAATATCTAGAGCAGCCATCAAGAAGTGATTTCTCAAAGCACTTGAAAGAAGAAACTATTCGAGTAATTACCAAGGCATCACATGAGCATGAAGATAAAAGTCCTGAAACAGTTTTACAGTCGGTAAGAACTTTTCTTTTGGCTCTCTGAACACCTTCCTGCAGCATAGTGGGACAGGAAGCAGACCCCAGTGGCCACTCAGCCATGAATGTAATCCAGGAGCGCTGGGGAGCCGCCTAATCCTGGTGCTGTCACCTCCTAAGATACTGTTACAAAGTTACAGAGTTCTGAAGGAACTATTTGATTTGGAAGAGAGTACTGAAATTTAGCATTTCTCTGCCCTTCCTCCTTCCCTCTGCCTGTAATCTGATGGCCATGGAATCTTTAGGAATTTCGGATATAATTTTCATTGTTCCATGAAATCTAACTATCCTCTAGGTTAACCATACTCTAGGTTAAAGTGTTAACTAGCAAGGTACAGATGATGTTCCAAAATAGTTTATAAATGATAAAGAAGTGTCCTTTAGAATGATCATTATTTCCTTACCAGATTGTGGTTTTCAGGTCTGTCCTTTACACCAGGAAACTGAGCATGTTGATATTGTGCCATGCAACCAGTGAGCAGGACATTCAGAGAAATGCTGTTTCAAAATGCGGTACTAGAAATCAGTCCAGTTTCTGTAGTCCTCTAGGTATTATTAGTGAGCATGCACGGCTCTGAATGTGAGTTTTATGCTAGCTCCTTATAGCCCTTGAAGAATTCCTTCTTGAAAAACTAAAGAAAGTAGATCTGTCATAATTTTATGGCGTAACCTTTTACTTACTAAGTGAACTCAAGTCTAGTTGTAACCTGCTAATTGCAAGGAGACCTTTAATATGATAAAACTTCAATCAAGAATTTCAGTGAATAGGATATTGTTTCTTGAACTAAGCTTGTTAAACTAAATAATCACATTGTTATTTAATTTCCTGTTTATAATGTTTGAAAATGCATAATGTATCATATTGTCATTTAAAATATATTAATATAAGTAGATTTTGATGGTTTAAGTTTTGCAAATGCCTTTGAGGCTTCACGAAATTGAAGTGTACGTGCGTTTAACTCTAGAACTTTTCTTGGAAAATACTTGGTGGCTCTGTGATATCTTCTTACTGGGGGCATCGGAAAACCTGGGGAAGGGGGAAGGACAGAGGAGTAGATATAATAATGTAGAGATATTTTTCCTAGTATAAAAAATGAATTTACAGTGACTGATATTTACAACTTTTGTTAGTCTACATTTTCCTTACTAAATGTCATCTTTTCAGTTAATAGAAAAAAAAATTGTTAGTGTTACCTAGCTTAATAGCTTTCATTTTCCTAGTTTGTCTAATCATATGTAATTGACATTGATAGAAACCAACATTTCATTTTGTTTACTCAGTTTTCCTTGCATGAATATGATACTATAAGCTGGGATCATAGCTTGATCCTGCTTTGGGAAAGGAGAATGTCAGAGAATGAATGTGCTAGACAAAGAGTGTAAATATTTTTTATTTCTCTTGTTTTCCAGAGTAGCATCTAGCTGTTCTCATTATCTGTTTCAATCCCAAAGCATATCTAAGAACTGTGTTAATTACAGCTATCTGATGTGACCTCTGGGGCTTAGCATTGTGCTCAGTTGCTGATGAGCACTGTAACCTCATCATACTGCTTTACCAGTGGAAGTTGAAATTGGTACTTGAGCTGGAACTTGGACAAAAGACAATCTCTTACAGCATCCTGACAATCTGCCCTCTAAACTGCCAGGCCAAGTATCTGGCCCAGAAACATTTTTTAAAAATACCTAGTTTGGCTTATAGAAGGCACTAAGTCTGTGTGGTTCCTTGTTTTAATTAAATTATAAAAATTTTATTAAAAGGCACTGTATTCTTACTAGTTAACCAAAGAATTCCCTGGATAGCTTAAAACTTTATCAGTGATAGATGTTCTTCCAGTGTTTCATCTTTTTTTTAATTTTTTTTAGAAGAAAGTCTTATTGGGTCCAGTGTGATGGCTCATTGGGTAAATGCTTACATTGCATTTGCCAGGATCCCACGTGGGCACCAGTTCATGTCCCAGCTGCTCTTCTTCCCATCTAGCTCCCTGCTGGTGGCCTGGGAAAGCAGTTGAGGATGGCTCAAATCTTTGGGACTCTGCACCCATGTGGGTGATCCAGAAGAAGCTCCTGGCTTTGGATTGGCTTAGCTCTGGCCATTGAGCCCACTTGGGGAGTGAACCAGAAAATTTCTCTTGGTCTCCCCTTGGCCTCCCCTTCTCTCTATAAAATCTGTGTTAACAATAAGGATTCATAATGGTTTTTTTTTTAAAAGAAGAAAGTCTTTAAATATTTTAGTCAAAGTGAAAAGAGAAGCATATGCTAAGAATCATGCATAACTTCATCCACTAAAGTTACTTATTTGTTGTATGTTGATATGTTATTTTTTTACTCTTTTGTACAGGCATTGCTACAAGAAAATTTTATCTTTCATTTATTACTTTAAACTTATAATAACTTGTCTATGACCGTACCTCCCTGAATGCTCCCGATCTCGTCTGATCTCGGAAGCTAAGCAGGGTCGGGCCTGGTTAGTACTTGGATGGGAAACTTATCTTTCCATGCTATAAACTTGGTAAAAATGTTCAATGGATGAGTATTATTTCACCGGTATTAAATTTTTATTTATGTACCAATTCCCTCATTGTATATTTGTTTCTATTACATGTTTATAAAGAGCTAGTTGAATTTAAAACAAAAATTAGTATTTCAGGCTATTGACTTACAGTCGATTTCCCTTGGTTGAATTACTGGGTTAAAGGTATTGATGTATTATTTGGGCAGAGGAATTTCAGTTAGGTAGCTTTCTGTTACACTTCTTATGAAATCACATTTTATGATTCATGAATTTCAGGCAACAACTAATTGAAAATTATTTTTGCAACAGATTAATTAAAATCTTTAATTTTTAAAATGTAGATCTTGTTAATTTGTTCACATATGCCTTGAAAATAACAGGAAAGATAAACATATACTTTACTTCATTGTGCCTGTAAATTCTTTACATGAAAGATGTTTTTTTTCTGTGCAGGACAGCAGAATTTAATGATTACTGCAGAATCATATAAATGAAAGATTCTTCTCAACTTTTATTCCTATAAACACAGTTTTGTTTTTCATGAAGAGATTGTTATTTTATATGTGTTGCATTTACTATTTGCTATTGGTGTTAAGTTTATATTATTTGTTCTGGATGTATTTGATACTCTTTCAGATGTCCAATACAAAAGCCATCACAGCAAACTTCATACTTCCCGTTCACCTGCCTGTATTGACACTTGGGGACAGATCCTTAACTCCCAGCATCAGTTTTTGTCTTGTATGCTAAAAAGATTAAAATGCTTAATTAAATGTCATGGATCAACTATAGAATGTGTTACAGAAACTTTCTGTTACAATTACTCAAATGTAAGCAATTTAAAGTAACACAATGCACCATGTATAGGTTAGCTGAATAGCGTTTGTCCTAATCCTAGCAACCATGTAGATTGCTTATTCCCTCAAGAAAAGCTGAGACTTCAGAAAGAGACCTTTTCCAAAATATGGAAACCTTTTCCAAAATATGACCAAAAATACCATTTTTTTCCTAAAGACTGTATATATCAGCCTTGACTAACAATCTTTGTTTCCTTGTTTCATTAATATCATTCCACATGTATACTTCTAAAAATTGGAAATATTGATGTTACTGAGACCTGTATCTTAAGTGTTAATTAAGCCCCTGTAATTCCTCTTTAATAACTTAACTCACTTTATCTAAAAATTACAATTTTCGTTGCTTGTGAAAATTTTTTATGATGCAAATGACAATTACTTAAGCCACCTGCTTTTGTGAATTTTTCACTACTTTTGACATTTGTTTATGGATAAACAGTGGATATGCTGATTATAAACCCATTTGGTGAAATTATGTTTCCTTATCAAGTTTGTACAACGATGGAATTAAAACAGTTATCCAGCAGTTCCTAAAATCAGTGCATAATTTTCGTAGTACAAATTTTAATGCAGTGTTTTAATATCTGCATGTATACATATGTACATATATACATATACTTGTATAGATTTCAGGATTTGTTTTTTATTCGGTTTTTAACTTGACTGTGTTGCCCGTCTGAGACCAAGTTTTTTGGGTGAATCAATTTATAGTTTTTGAAGCAGCTTTTTTGATTTTGTGTGGATTTTTTCTTTGTGTGAATTACTGTAATTCATTAGGTTTTGAGTTATTACCAACAGCTTTGTTAAAATTCTTCACAAGAATTCATTCGATGAGTAGGATTAAAGACTCATATTCTGTAATGGACTAGAATGATTTAAACTGTATCAGTTGTAACTGCATACGTGTTGGTAACTTGAAAAAATGGACAGGTAACACTATAAGCAAAATACCCTCTGTGTTCTGGGATTTAGAAGATGTCATTTTCATATGCTAAGAAAGATTTTCTAGTAGTATTGGACATTTTAAAAATTGTCAGTACACAGCTAATAGGTATCCCAGCTGCAATATTCTTTTTAAATGTTTGGAATCCAAATTGCTTCTAGTTTTAAGCGTTTGGAAAGCAACGTGAGTGTGGTCAGTTGTTGTATTGCCACTTGACTAAAGTATTTGATTTTAACTTTCCGGTTTTAGTTGGTTTCATTTTATACCAAGCAAGCCCAGGCATTTTAAAAAGGTTTATATGACTGTGCCCGTAGTCTTGATTCCTTATTGTTTTAATTCCTAATGTTCATACCAATAATTTTTTTTCTGCAGAAACCTGAAAATGCCACAAGCAAACCAATTTCTAACCAGCGAGTTCTCGAGGTGGCGATTCCACATGTAGGGAAATTTACGATTGAATCAAAGGAGGGGGGTTATGATGATGAGGTACCTTTACCACAGTTGTCTACACTGCTCCTGCTTATTGTCTGCAGTTTAATACAAGTACCTGGGGCATGCCTGCACCCGCACACTTACATGTGTTGCTGCCTAACATTCAGCTTCACCACCCATGGTGTGAAATTTCCAATTACTAACAGAAATTTGAATTTCAAAAAGAGTAATTTGATATGAGTTAATTCTTTTGTGGAGACATAGGATCAGTTTCCTTTCTAATTCCTAGATTGTATAGTAAGGTTTGTTTGATTAAACAGTAACAATTGTTACATTTGAAACAAGTGTAACTCCCTGTTCCTGTTTTATCTGAGTTATGTGTAGTGCTACTTTGCTGCCCTCACCTAGTGGACAGGATGCACCTGACTGCACAATGAGTAGCTGGTGTTTTTACTATTGCAGCCTCTACGCATATGACTGGATGAACTGATTTGTTACTCAGCATCTGCAGGTGTTTTATGTACTGTGGCACCTCCATCTGTTTCCGTCTTACCATTTCACTGTTCATTCTCATCTGCTTAGTTTTTTTGTGTTTTTTTTTTTTTTAGCATTATGAAGGCATTTTTGGTTCTGCTCACAGATTTCTTAAATTCAGATGAAAATGATCTGATTGCTGTCTATCAGCTTATCATCAGACAAGCTATTTTATGGTTTTTCTCTTGCTGTTTTTTTCCCCACGTGTGAGAGTTTTATAAAGCTATTTCTCAATAATTACACAAAAAAAGGCCATGCTATTCTAGAGGGAGAATGGTTTGAAAAAAATACATATATATTTTTAGCACTTTATGGATATTGATGACACTGAATTTATGATTTTTAGATGACATAGTTACTTAGTGTTTGAGAGATTTATAGACAAGGAGAAAGAGATCTCCTGTTTGCTGGTTTTCTCCTCAGGTGGCCTCAAAATGGCTAGCACTGGGGCATTCCAAAGCCAGGAGTTACCTCTGACTCTCCCATGTGGGTGGAGAGACCCAAGAACTTGGACCATCTTTCACTGCTTTCCAGGCCACTAGCAGGGAGCTAGATTAGAAGTGGAGCATTCCAAACATGACCTAGCATCATAGGGAAGCTGGCTCTCAGTGGGTGTCTGCCCTCTGTGCCACATTGAAGGGGCCGGGATATTTTTTCCAGATAATATTTTTTGCATGTTTATCCCATGTTTACAATTATTAAAAAATTTACATACGAATGTGAGAGAGACCGAAAACAAAATAAGACTGCATGTTTGCTTGCTTGTTCCCCAAATGCCCACAATAGCCAGGGCTGAGCCACGTACAAACCAGGAACCCAGGACACTGACCCAGGTCTTTCCTGTGGCTGACAGGCCCTCCCTCCGTTGTCTCCAATATAGGATGTACTGGCCTTACTGACGATGCTGCCCGTATTCTCTACAATCTTAATTTATGGAACAAGTAATCAGGGTAAAGCTTCCGGCCTTAAAGAAACAAAAAGTTAGGAATGAAGTTAATCATATAACACTGTCTTGTGCAAGTGCTTCTGCTACTGGCAAAATTGTGTGTTCTTTTGTTTAATTTATTGGAGTGACAGTTTAACAGTGCACGTGTCTTTAAATTTTACAAGTGATGTATGTGGATGCAGGGCTGCTGCTCACAAAGTACTGGTTGTACAGTTGTGCAGGCGTACTTCACTGAGAGGGAGCAATGGGATTGAATTCTTCACATGCTGAACTTCCCACGCCTTGAGGAAGAAGCACCTTTTTGATAAAAAAGGAATGCTGCTTCCTTGAGTAGTCCTCTGAAAGAACACATCTTATTTGTCCAGCAGGGGGCGCCTTTTAAAATTTCTCAGTTGAGAGAGATGCCTTTTCGTAGTTTGCATGAAGGTATCTGTAACCCTGCACTATATGGATGATTTTGGAAGATGCCTACGTGCATATTGGGCCGTATTTGCTATTTATACACATATTGGACGTATAAGAAAGTAGAGAACAAAGGAATTTGAACTCACATGTGAAGAAATTATTTTAATTTTTAGAAAAAATATTTATGTTACTGTTCAAAAACTGTTATTTTAAATCCCTGTGGCAGATCATGCTGACACCGAACATGCAAGGTATTATCATGGCGATAGGTAAATCCAGGAATGTGTATGACAGGTGTGGTCCTGAAGCAGGGTTCTTTAAGGTACTATGCATATTTTCATTCTACTTTTCTTTCTCTCTCTCTTTTTAATAAGTTAAGAGTCTTAAAATGTTTCATTTGTTTAAATAAAATTTGGTTTCTTAATGTAAATTATTTTCCACTCTTAGCCATGGCCACCTGATACTCTGGGTGTTTTTCTTACGCAGCTCTGTGTCTGACTCTTTCCTTCTAATGCAGATAATTAAAGCAGAGCAAAGCATTTTAACTGAGTAACCGTAGCAGTGTGTCTCTAAATTGTTAACAGAAATTTGAATTGTATTTTGCATCTGAAGGAAATAAGGGCATTAATGAATAAGACCAGGAACTCAGTGCTTTTGACAATAGTTCTTTTAATTCTCTTTTAAGTGTATCCTGCCATTGTAGGTATAGACAGTGGCAGAGAGACCAGCATCCTATTGTCAAGATATATTTAACATTTAACTAGCGGAATGATGATCTTCTGACTTTATGAAGGACTGTACTTTTGTGACAGTGAAGTGGAAGGCAGTGGGGAGAGGGAAGGGAAGCCTCAGAGCGTACAGAACTGTAACATAACGTAAAAATAAACTAAAAATTTTAAAAATCTTCAAATCATTAGTAAATATATTTTCCCTTAATTTTCTCAATATTTAATAATAAGCTGCTTCCTTTTTTATTTTTATAAAGTGCTTTGTTAATTTATTATTATGTGTGTGAGTTTATGTCTTCATCAAAATTAATTTTGATACCCTGTGGTCACTTTAATACTTAAGGCTATTGTACCGATCTGTTCAATTTCATAACCACATGTCTCCTCCTATGAGACATTACAATATTTTCTTTTACATATTAGAAACATGTAAATTGCATATACATTTTGTCATTTAATTTAGCAATTTTGAATGTTTCAACTATCTTCCTGTATTAAGCTCCTTTTTGACAGTAATATTTCAGACATTTTCTTCATTCTTATATTCTTACCCAACTTGATCTTCATGACCTTGGAGTTCTGCTTTTGTGTTTTCATTGTGCCTTTTAGCATCTCGTGGAAAAAAAAAAAAGGAAGACTTGTACACAGTAGTATTTTTCTTTTTGGATTAGAATGATCCATTGCCCAAGTGCACCTGGTGCTGAGGTGTTTCCAAAAACACAAGGGTTGAAGTACTTGACTGTTCTAGACCGATTTTTTTTAAATGCAAGTCTCTTATCCTAATAAGATCTCATTGGAAAGGGTGGAGAACTTGGGGCTGGCACTGTAGGCTTCTATGCTTCAGCCTCCACCAGTAGAGTCAATATCCCATACAGACCTGATTGAGTGCTGGTTTCTCTGCTTCAGATCCAGCTCCCTGATAATGTGCCTGGGAAACCAACAGGTGATGTCCAAATCTTGGACTCTGGCACCCGTAGGAGTCCTGAAAGAGGCTCCTGGTTTAGGAATGACCCAGCCCCAGCTGCTGCAGCCATTTGGGGGGAGGGTGGAGAGTGAACCAGCAGATGGAGGATCCCTGTCTGTCCTTCTCTCTCTGTAAATTTTCTTTGAAAAAAAAAAAAGTCTTTAAAAATAGCCTGAAAAACTACTCTGTTAGAAAAAAGTAAGGCTAAACAGTTCTGTCCCACATTCTCAACTTTGATTGTTAAGAATGTATCCTTTTCTGCTGAAAAATTAATTTTGCATTTTCTTTTTCTAAAGGTATGTTTTATTTCGAAGGCAGATAAACTTTACCTCCTCTGCTACACTCCCCAGATTATTGCAATTCCCAAGACAGGGCCATGCCAAAGCCAGGAGCTAGGAACTCTTCTCTGGGTCTCTGATGTGGTGGCAGGGTACCCGATACTCAGCCCTCAGCTGTTCCTTCCCAAGAACATGAACAGAAAGTGGTCAAAAGCACAGAGTTGATGACACTTAATGGTATTCTAGTTCTTGTCTCTTCATCAATACTCTACCCCAAAGTAGCCATTTGCTGGGCTTCACTCCAAGTAACATGAATTTATTTAAATGTCTATACTTGGAAACTTTTACTCTAGATATCATTTTTAAGTCTCTGTTTTTACTTACTAATGTGTTATTTCATGTATGATGTTGAATATTCCCAAAATTGTAGTTTGTCCTTGTGGTATTTCATTATTTGTGTCATGTTTTCCCATTGTATTGATGATACATGCATGTATAGCACAGATGTAAATCCAAAGGGTGTGGTGGGATAGTTAGGGATTTCTGCATTAATGACGCTAGTTCCAGCAAGGAGGTAAACGTTATTAAAAATTTTAATCAGTATGATGAAGAAGCAGTTTGATAGAGAAAACAAATATGAGAAAACAGAACTGGTACCTTAAATAATTCCTAGAGAAAGCATCATTTAAATTAATAATGCTTATTATACCAAAATCTAGAAGATGAAAATTTTTCATTTTGCAATTCCCATTCCACAGTTTGAATTGTGTTAATTATTTCTTTATCATCATAGGTAAATAGACTAGTTTATACTGAAGCATTAATCCATTCATTAATAATAGAAATCAAAATATAAACAAAACTTTTACTTAATTTTTACTGTATTGTTGTGATAATTGTTTTCTGCATCAGGCTTTGTGGATGTATTCATCATTATTATTATTGTTATTATTATTTTCTGTTGAGTTTACCAGAACTTATTTAAATGTTATTCCAAAGCAGGATATCCCAGTGTTTTTCCATATTATAACCAATATGGAAATGGTAATATATACTCCAACAGTCATAAGTCTGATGTCACTGGCTGATAGGATCGATGTCTCATCTCCTCAGTTATCCATGTCCCAGACTACCTGTCACTAGCAATGACTCTGTGGATACGGATTCAGGTTTAAATTCTGGCTTTCTCACTTAGCCATTCTGGGACCTTATGTGATTTCTTAAATTATCAAGCTATGTGTTTAATTTACAAAGGAGAATTTAAAATGTTGATTAATACAAAGGGACGACCAATGTGGAGCTCTGACAGTGTATCACACAAAGGGTACAAAAATATCTGAGCCATTATTATTAAGACTTTTGTTAGCATCGTTGATGCTGGATGTTGCTGTTATTTCCAGGACTGTTGTAAAGTCTTATATGTGTGTTACTGAACATTTCTGAAGGTAATAAATCCAAATCAACAAATCAGACTGCTTTTAACTTTTAAGTATTGATGAAGGTGTTACATTACCCTCAAAATAGCTTAAGTTTATTTTTACTCCTATTGATGTTTGTTTGACAAGATGATATAGAATGTATAATTTCTTTATAAAGTGTGTTTTTTCTGATCTTTCACTGGGGAATCTTTGTGAATGTTTTAGCAGCTCATATTTATGTTGACAGTCTTTAATTCTGTACATTTTTCACATGGAGTTTATATTGTCAAGTAAAAGAAGAATTTGATATGCTAATATTATCCATTTATAATTTGCAAGTTTTGAGGTTAATAATTTATCTTTTATAAACTTACATTTGATGTCCTCTGCAGAGCTTTTGTACTTACAAAATATGGTCCTATGCAATCATTTTTACAGTTATACAAATATTTAATTTCAACATTATGATTTTACTTTTTGCTTCTTCAAATAGAATTTCTCCAAGTAACACCAAAGTAAAAATTTCACTTTTGTATCCTTTACATATTTTCTTGAATCGGCTGCATACAGCTATCTATCTATGGTGGTTTGTATTGGATTTTTGTATTGCATTGATCCTTTTTGTTTGTTTTTTATCAGTTTTGAACACTAAGCGTGTTTGTCATAAGCTCTTTCTCTTTGGTAGCAGGAATGCTTACCACATGTGCTTTTATGTAAAACGCTTTTCAAAGCCCCTTCTGCATTGATGACTTTTAGAATCACCTGCTGAGCCCTTGCATGCTCTAAGAACTGATTGTACTTTTGCATTAAGTTGATTACATTGACGTAATAATTTAGTATTAGGCAGGTACTTTTTTTTCCGCCTATCTCTTAAAGTAATTCTAGTAATTTGTCTTCCTGGGAAATCATCTGTTGAAGTGAAATTCTTTGTTGATAAAGTTATATATTTGGTAATAAGTTGAGTTCTCTTCCTTCTCCTGCTCTACTATATATAATATATAGAGAGAGGGAAACAAACAGCATTTGGTTATGAATTTGACACATTATTTCCCTGACTTTTTGTTGGTTAATTTTCTATATTTTTTAAAAAAAATTATTACTGTTTGAAATGCAGAGTTAGAAAGGGAAGGAGGAGGAGACAAGAGATCTCATCCACTGATTTGCTCCCCAGATGGCTGTGGCAGCTGGAGTTGAGCCTCTCTGATGCCAGCAGCCACAGCAGCCCTCGAGACCACATCGTACTAGCCACACCTTGGCATTTCCCTTACTTGGGGCTGGCTGGCATGGACGGGGGCTGGGGGGATATTTGTGTTAGGAGGAAAGAGGCTAAAGGAAAAGTGTGGAGACCGTGGGATTGGGCATAAAACATGGGGCGACATGTACTGTGAAATGAAGACAAATGCTGTAATTGATGAGGAGGAACCTACCTTGGGTTGTGGGGGAAGTCTGAAGGGGGGTGCCTTGACTCTGGTGTCTCTGCTTGTCCCCTCATTCTTGTAGAGGCTGTTCAGGGTAGGTGGGCATGAGTGGTAAGTTGGTAGGATTTTTTTTTTAAACCAAGGGCTCTAGAAGGAAACCACCTGCGTCTGCTTGTTGCCTTGCCTCTCTCTTCTCTCTGTGGCTCACAGTCCTCCTCCTGCCTGCTCTTGTCCTGAAATGTTGGCCATTCACCTGGTCCTTCTTTTTCTAGCTCCCTTCCTCTCCAGCCTTCCAGATTGCCTTATAATCTGTTTTGTTTTCTTTCTTTGCTTTTTACTTTTTCTGTCTTGAGAGTGTCTTTGCAGGGCTCTGAAGACAGATCTGTGTTCTGTTCCCAGATGTTCCAGTGTAGTTTCTTTCCCCTTGGAAAATGCACTTCCCTGTTTGGGGTGACTTATGTTTATTATTATTGTTATTATATAGGCAGCTGCACTGTCACACAGGTATAGTTAACACAGAGTTGGCATTAGCCTGGTCCAGCATGTCAGCCAGCTATTTGCTGGTTTTCTCCCAGCAGTTTAATGCTTGACTAGGTGCAAGGAATCCTTAACACTTGCCTGGAGCTGGGGTTCTGGGATACGATGTTAAGTGTCAATAGAAATGAGATTACAACATCATGGCTCTTAAAGACAGAGAAGTTGAATTGAGTTAAAAGAAATACCAAAAAAAAAAAAATCAAAAAACAAAACTGGGGAATGTTCTCTTTTTTTCTGTTGCTTTCATTATTTTGTTAGAAAGGGATGAAGTGGAAACATGTATTTTTGAGTTCATTTAGGGAGGATTTTTTTTTTTAGTGTATGTCAGTAAAGTTTTTTTTAATTAAAACATAATAGTGTTAGCTTGGGCAGCTATCGTTTATTTTCAGTTCCTATTTGTATTGTATTGTGGTAAGATAATAAATGGCATTTAAGATTTCAATTCACTCGAATTTGAATTCAGGCTGTATTAATGTTGTGGCATGCTTTTCATTTTTGTAAGATGGGTCCATGAGCATATGCATTTTCTTAACTATTTCAGAAATAATAGTAATAGTACTTAAGATGAAATTATACATTTATGCTGTGATTTTATAAAATAACTTAGAAAAATAGAAGTATAGGCAGAAATTATTTGGATTTTTAGAACTAAACATTTCAAAATATATAGGCAAACTAGTGTAAATCATTGGATCATCAAGGGAAATGGATAGTAAAGAATCTGACACTGGAAGAAAACTTGGGAAACAAAGACATATGTCAATTTGCTGTGAAACAAAGCTGACCTGTGTATAGGAATTCTTGATTAAAGAGGAAGAAATAAGATGCCTAGGTAACATTAAGTATGCTTGAATATCTGATGGTAACGTTAGAAAGAAATACAACTAATTCTATCACCTAATGAAAAGCAGCACATTTAATGTGGCATATGTATGGTGGTTTTATTGTGATATGTACAACAGTTAAGATAGCTTTCATCAGAGGTAGCCAAGATTATAATTATAAGGATACTGAAGTAGTAGCTTGATGCAAGCTTAACATTATGTTGACTTTACTCAATGGCAGATTTATGGAGCTCTGCTGATTATAGCAACATGGAGCATCTGTTAAGAACTTTAATAGACATGATTCTTACATAGTTTAAAAGTCATACAGTTTCTTAAAATGAAGTTTATACAAAAGGGCTGAGTGCATTTTGTGCTAGCAAAAGTGTGTGTGCGTGTGTGTATGCGAGAGAAAAAGTTCCTCCTAGAAACTTAGAAGTGCCTTTCTGCCCTTCGAAGACTTTCGACTGAAAAGCACTGCGATTTTGGCATTCACTGGAGAAAATTAGGAGAATCTTAAATGGAAAAAATCAAGAGGTGGAGGTCTAATCCTAGAGAATAAGAGGCATTTCTGTAATAGAAATCTGTTTTAAAAAGTCACAGCTCCTATTTAGATAGTAGATCAGGTGATAAATAGTACTAACGTAGTCAATACAATGTTTTTTTGGTCACACAGATTTTAATTAAAACATATATGAAATATTTATTATCCAGAGGTTGTCTTATAGTTTGGAACAATAATTGAGGCCATAACAGCAAGAAATAGTTATTGTTTGTAATCTTGTAAGTTTATTTTTAAATTTATTTAGTTTTGCTTATTAAATGAGCATGTGGTGTTTTTTTGTTGTTGTTGTTTATTTCCAAAGAAGGTTTTATAGGGCTTTAGGTAATGTATCTTTGTAATAATTAATCGCAGCACTATGATTGGGAAATATATATGTATATACAGAGTGAAAGCTATTTCTTTAACAAAGGCAGAGTGATTTTGGAATAATATCTCTTAGCTTTTAAAAACAGTTCTACCCATAGAATGATCAGTTATTGAAATCACTTATCAGCCTTCCCTTTGAAAAAAGATGGCATTTCCTAAGTAGAATATTTCATTTAATATTTATTTGCTATATTTTCCTTTCTCCTAAAAAAAATCCTCATGGGCGCTCACAAGTATATGGATGGCCAAGAATTATCTAAGGAAAGAGCATGAACTAAAGAAAAATGCATCTATAATTGAATAGTCTTAAAATCTTACATGTGGTTTGAAATATCTTCTAGTAGTAGAGCTAGAATTTAGATAGAAGCCCAACAGCAATATTCTTAAAAATGTTAATTAAGATTCTTGTGCATAGCATGGTTTGTTGTGTAAGTCTACAGATATTTTGGTCTGGTCAGATATTTTCCATATGTGTTAAAACATTAGTTGTTATTTTCTGTTAAAATTATTGATACTGCAGTGTTGGTTTATAAACAAAAAAGGTAAGCTCAAGCTTGGAGCTGATAATACTGCACGTTCATTGTTATTTCACTGGTATAATTCAAAGACTATCCAAGTAGTGAGGAGTTTATTCTGCCATTCTTAACAAGCAGTATTTCAATTCTAAACCTGATGCTGGAAGGATAAAATGGAGATTACCGTGTCCATGCTGTGATGTGTTTGAGTAGGTTTTTGATAAATTCTGATGAATTTGATAAAGTTAATCACATTATTAGCTTTACTGTGTTATTTTGCAACTTTAATTATGGGAAAATACTCATACATAAGTGAATGGACAAAGAAGGACCTGTGTGTTCTTTAGAAAATTCTGTGAAATTATTAAACTTGAAATAATGCTCTGTTATACTGCTTTGTAATACTTTAAAAATTAAATTTGACTGCAGGAAGAATTACAATTTTAACATTGAAGGAATTTAATTATAATTGACCAACATTATTGTTTTTGTTGCATTTTCTAGGCAATTAAGTTAGAGTATTCAAGATTAGTTAAGTTGGCCCAAGAAGACACCCCACCAGAAACAGATTATCGTTTACATCACGTTGTCATATACTTGATCCAGAATCAAGCACCAAAGAAAATCATTGAGAAAACTTTGTTGGAACAATTTGGTGACAGAAATTTGAGTTTTGATGAAAGGTAAGGTGAAAATGTAAAATATTTAATTCACGTGCTTCTGTTGTTTTTGTTTTATGGATACCCATTCCCATTTTTGAGACAGATAAATTGACATGTTTGGACGATGGAATGAAAGAGATGGATGTTTCACCTGCAGGTTCATTGCCTTAGCTGCTATGGCTAAGCTAGGGTTGGACTGAAGCCAGGAGCTTCATTTGTGTCTCCCACAGGAGTGTGGGAACTAAGAACTTGTGCCATTATCTGTTGCTTTCTAGGCACATTAGAAGGAAGCTATATGGGAAGTGGAACAGCCAGAGCTGGAACTAGTACCCATGAGAATTGCTGGTGTGCTAAGATTCAACTTTTCTCACTATACTACAGGGATGACCCCGCCCTATTGTAATTTTTATGTTGATATATGCAAAAACATTGTAGTAAACACAGCACAGAATTTTGCCTTGTCTAATTTTCTTGCTTTTCTAATCAAATTTGTTCTTTAGAATTTGATCTAAAAATTATTTAGAAAATTCTAATGAAGTTTAGCAGTAAGTCATGTAATCATTGTTTTAGTAAGATGTGGTGTTTTATAGAAAACAAAAGTGACTTCAAATCAGGCACAGCCTTACTGATGGGTTTGCACTTCATTGGGGGACACTGAGCAGCGTCCTTGATACTCACCTGTTAAATGGCAGTAGTCTCCCAGGTTATGAGCATCTAAAATGTCTCTAAGTATTACCACATAACTTCTGGAACCGCAGTCATCTTTCTGTAAGAGTCATTGGGTAAAATTTTTAATTGTGAACACAAGTAATAATTAATGAAACATTTGGCAAAAAAGCTTATGATGGTGTTATTTATTGGGTTTACCCAAACATATTTTTTCTTAGGAACTACCATAAACCTAATAAGGTTAAATATTTAAACATAAGTAACTAGAATGAATAGCATTTAAGAAACATAGGTTCTGGGGTTGAGGGTTCAAATAATGGGTTTTTAGTGTATGGAAACATTTAAGATGCATCCTTGGAATTCATTATTACAATATTTCAAGTCTGGAATAAACTGTTCTCATGTATCAGTTTTAAAATGTGTAGATGAAGCAAATGGAAGAAAAAAAATTTAGAATCCAAGTGTAAGATCGCATGAGATAATAGAAGTGAATGAACAGTATGCAGTGGACACTTGTGTGCTCACTGGATTTGGTGTGTCTGTTAGGAGTATGAGCTTCACCTGTGTTGTCACATGACTGACTTATGAGTTCTTTTGTTGTGGCCATAAATGCACTACGTTCTAATGATTGTAGAATGTTGAATTTGGGGAAGAGGTTAAGAAGTTATCACATAGGCTTTTCAGCCCTTTAAAATGATCAGTCCTGAGGACCTTAATTGATTAACCATTTTATATGTAGCATCTCTTTTACTTAAAAGATTTACATGCCTGTGATTAAATATATTTTGCAGCACATTGCTTTTTTCCCCCATTTTCTCCTTTTTATATATGAGAAGCAGGGAAGCACAGAGAGAGGGAGCCAGAGTAAGCACTGCCCAGAACAAAGTCTTAGAAAACCACATGCAAACAAAATAAGTACATTTGAATGTAATTATTAATCCTCTCTTTGTAAATATCCAACACTGATTGAAGAAATAGATCCCATTTAGGCTTCTATGAGGGAATTTTCTTAAAGCTACTGTTCCATAAAGAGAGACTTTGCTTTTGTGTATGTTTGGTAGTTGAGTTGTGTTTCAGTGTTTTTGACTTCATAGATTTTGGTTTGAATACATAAATGTTTTTCTTTTATTTGTAGGTGTCACAACATAATGAAAGTGGCACAAGCTAAACTGGAAATGATAAAACCGGAAGAGGTAAACTTGGAGGAATATGAGGTAATGTGATTTTTGAGAGACTGAACTGTAGATTGAGGTGATCTGTTTATTGATTTCCTCTGTTTTCAGCCTTACTAACTTTGATATTTGGCCATGATACCTAAAGATTAAACATCTAAGTCACTTTTATGAATGATTAATTTTTTAGTTTTTAAAGCCAAAAAAGAAATTTGTTTTCCCCAAGCGTTCCCAATCAACAGGCCAAAGCTTAGAACCATCCAAGTCTTCCCCTGGGGGTGGCTGGAACCCAGTTATTTGAATGTGTGTTAGCAGGAGACCAGGAATGGGAGACGAGTCAGGGTCTCTGGCTCAGGGACACTGATGTGAGGTATGACTGTCCCCAGCTGTGTGTTTTACACCAGAGGAAGCAAGGGGCAGAGAGAGAACATTATCTAAGTCTTTCATAGCAAGAAGTTGATAACTTAGCTAACAGAACCTGTGTACTTCACCATACTGCGCTAAAGTTACACTGTATTCTCTGTGTTTCCTCCACCATTTTGTTGGGAAGTTAGAAGCTTGTTATGGTCATCTCTATTTTATGTCATATTTTTGTTTTGCTTTATGAGGCAGTGATAGATGTGAGAGAACACAGACACAGAAGCCTGCTTGCAGGCTGTCCTGTGCACAACTGCCTCTCTGCATTGACACCGACGCTGAAATCAGCACTTTATTGTAATTGACCCATGTGCCCTCCAGCTTTTATATATTAACTTTACACACTGTAATTGTGTGTAAATATATAACTTTAAGTTGATTTCTTTAAGTTGATTGCTTCCTTTGATTGCTTCTATTTACAAATTTAGTTTGGATTTTCTTTCTTTTAAAATTTGTTTTTATTGCAAAGTCACATATACCTACAGGAGGAGAGGCACAGGAAGATCTTCCATCGGATGATTCACTTGCCATGCAGCCTGTGCAGTGGCCAGAGATGAGCCAATCTGAAGCCAGGATCCCTTGAGCTTCCTCCAGGTCTCCCATGTGGGTGCAGGGTCCCAAATCTTTGGGCTGCTTTCCCAGGCCACAAGCGGGGAGTTGAATGGGAAGCAGGGCCCATATGGAATGCTGGTGCATTCAAGGGTGAGGACTTTAGCCTCTAGACTACCGCATCGGGCCCCAAATTTAGTTTGGATTTTCTAAAATATTACTATAGAAGAGCAAAGATAAACACTCATATGAAAAGTCTGCACTAACCTGTAGTGTAAGCTAAAGCAGTTGATCAAAGAGCATGTCTGAAATAAAAAACAAAACACAATAAAACTACAGTAAATGCACAGAAAAGGGAAACATAATTCATTGTTTATAGATTTTAAACCTAGACATTCAAAGAAAATTTGCAAATAAAAGTTCTTAAGTGAGAGACAGGCAGTGTGAAAAGATAGTACTGGTTTCTAAATACAGTAAGAATTACAAAATAAAACTTAACAAATATTACACCATTTGCAATAGTTCCTTGAAACTAAGGAATGTACAGAAATAATTTTCATTCAGTTCTTTTGAAGATTTTATATAAAGTCACAAAGTGTCATGTTTCACAGATGAGATTTAAGAGCCTTGCGGTGCTTTCCCACCCCTCCTCCCCACATTGCCCGCATGCTTTGATTTCACTTCACAGTCACAGGCTTAACACTCCGTATCAAAACATACCAATGATATTTGCAGAACTGGATATAATTTTCTTCCAAATGATTTATAGATTCTGTACATTCCAAGGGAAAATGCCAGTAGCGTATTTTATAGAGTTTTATAATCTGCATGAAAATTTTATAGGAATAAGATCATAATCTAAAACAGTCATAAGACTAACATACAGTCTTCACTATTAGATCTTTATAATTTTAAAATTATTACAGTTGAGCTAGAGGGCCTGAATTGTAACATTGTAGATTAAACTGCAGTTTCTGAGACCAGCACCCTATCCTGGTCTTGGCTACTTAGTTTCTGATCTAACTTCTCTCTAGCTTGAATGGGCAAGTAGCTGAAGACAACCCAATTTCTTGGGCCCCTGCCGCCACTGGGGTGTAGTGTGGAGTTCCCCGTTCCTGCATTCGGCTTGGTCTGACCCTGCCTGTTGGCAGCCAGTTAGAGTTAACTAGCAGATGAAGACTCTTCTTCCTCTTCCTCTCCTTTCTTTCCCCTCTCCATGCTGTTCCCACCCTTCTCTGTCTCTGCCTAGAGAGACATTCTACTGCCATTCTACTTTTCAAACAATAAATTAAGAAATAAATGTCTAAAGAGACATCTTCATTGAAAGGATTAAGAGGAGATCAATTCAACATCTCAGTAAATGCATTTTCAAACCTTAACATTTGAGATTAAATAAAAATTAAAAACCACTTTTCTGTATATTCTTTGTATGGGCTTTTACTGGTGTGTATATAAGAGCCTTGCCACTTTCCTCTCAGTATTCTGTTTTACATTAATCCTTTATTGTGTCCTACTTATTTTGATCACATCAAATTTCTTATTAAATAAGTTGACAAAATCTTGTAAACTTAAAAGTTTTATGGTATCATCTCAAAACCATCCTGCCCTATTTTGTGCCCACATAATGGTTTCTTTTCTGGGGAGGGAAGACCGGTGGAATATGAACAGCTCACCTTTCATCTTATATCAAGTGTAAAAATTATTTGGCTACCACACGGAAAATGGTATTTAGCACAAAGTTAGAGACTAAATATAATATCTTTATTTCAGGGTCTTAAAATTCTGTATCAACCATGTTTAAGTCAGTATTAAGAGAACAAATTCCGTTATTCCTGCCCTTAAGTGTGGTGATATGTATACATTCTCCCAAATCCCAGAAGAGTTTTTAAGCATCAGTGTAACACTCAAAATGCCTTGAATTTTGTAGTATTTCAAAATTAGGAGTGCTCCTCTTCTAGGATTCTTGAGACTTAGCTCAGGGTGAGGATGCTCGATCCATGAAGAAATTCCAAAATATGAGAAAAATCCAAAGTCTGGAATTCTGTATTTCCATCCATTTTAGTTATGGAAATCTTATCCTATACTATATTAAAATTTTAATAATTTTGTTTTATATGGAAGAATTTTTGAAAGAAAGAACTGATTGATTGCTCTGCTTTTTTCTCACAAGATCTTTGTTTAATTTAGTAATGGCTAATATGTACATTTCATTTGGTTAATCTGTTGTCTTTGTCAGAAAGCAAAGTTTGATTTAGATGTAGTTTATCCTAATTTTGACTTTTATGTTTCTACTAATTCAGATAGTAGAAGAGTATGTTCACTTTTTAAAAAGTTTAATTGAAATTTTAAAATCTGTGTTTTGAATTTTCATTAGGAGTGGCATCAGGATTATAGGAAATTCAGGGAAACCACTATGTATCTTATAATTGGACTAGAAAATTTTCAAAGAGAAAGGTAAGGTAAAATTGCTAAGTAAAATTGTTTACTTTTTAATCAGTTTTGCTTATGATTTCACATGTGCAATAAATAAACTGTATTAATAGTTGTGGATATATAGAGAAGATATATGTTCAGTACAAGGAGTCTCTACATATCTCACAGGAAATACACTTTCCATTTTAAATTAAATCTGCAAAGTTAGCATTTGTATCTTATTTTCAGTCAGCTCTTAAATAACATTTATAGTAAATAAATGTTCAGTAACATTGACTTCATATTATTGACTCTGTAGGCAGTCAGTATCTTTGAACTTCCAAGTACCATGAGAAGTGATATTTTAAACACATTTCTGAGTAGTTTATTTATTTAAAGAATTTTTACCTTAGAAACCATAATATCATAAATTTAATTGTTACTATTAAAATTTTAGTGACAAAATGGAATTTTTTTTTCTGGAGTTGTACTGTTCAACATGGTGGCAAGCAGCCATTAAAGATAAAAATTTAGTTTGTCAGTTACAGTGTCCAAATTTCAGATGTTCAGTAGCCATATAAAGCTAGTGATTATTGCATTGATTAGTTTAGATGTAAAAAAAGTTTCACACACCATTATAAAAAATAGTTTAGGACAGAGTATTTCCAGGGCACAGTGCTAGCTCTCATTTTTATGATTATCAAGACTCTATGATACCAAGATTTTACATGCTGGCACACAAACGGTAAACTGGTATTTAATGTGGCATCCAAATGCCTGAAATAAGTTTTTATGTTATTTCTGTGCTGATTCAGTTTGGCATGTAAAATAGAAGACTTCTTTGGTTCATCTTGTGTAAAATATTGTATCAAAGTTTTTACTGCTTTAATAGGAATATTCAAGTTCAGTGTTAGGACTTCTGAGATTTGTGTTGATGTAAGGAAAATCTTAATATGATTCAACAATGTACTGGTGTCTTAGATCAAAGCGGCATTTTAGTTTTACAAAGAATGAGAATGTAGTAGCTTTGTTAAGATCATATAACAATGGAGAAGAATAGTAAAATGGACATGCCTGTATTCTAGAATAAAATAATTAACTCAGATAAGTACAGAATGTGCTACTTCATATCACGTGCTGACAGTAATGTCTGTTTGGCTTCTTATATAACTTCTGTTTCAGTTGTTTACAGTTAATTTGTTCATTTGTTTGAAAACTTTAAAATAGTTTGGATTTATGTTTAAATGCCATAACTTGTCATTTATAAATTCAGCAAACTGATATTTTGATATAGTAGGTGTTCATTAAATTGGAAGCATCAATTAGAAATTTGGAAGGGTGGCAAATAATATTTATGGACTGTGAAAAAAAAGGTATCAGATTTATCACCTCAAATACAGAGGATATCATAACTCCTATGTATAAAATATTATCACAAAATTCATCAAACAACCCAAAACTTTGATTGGAGTACTTACTGATGAAGAATCCAACTTGTCAGTTGTGTGAATAGTGTAGTGAAATCTTGCATTTAGAAAACACAACTTTAGACTAGTGGTGTGGCCGTAGTTTTACAGCGTGATGGAAAATGGAAGAACCTGCCTCTCAAAAAAAAAAAAAATTCTAATTTTGCTTAGGTAAGAATGTGGTAAACAGGATTATTGAAGCTTATTTTAAATTTATTTGAATGTATATTTGTAGAAACTTTGAATTTTGATAAAATGTGGAGCGTTGTGTGCACCTCTGTAGAAGACTGTGGCTTCTGAGCTGCTCCTGGGGTGGTGGCTCCAGTGCATTAAGCTACATATGTGTAAGCGTAAAGGTCATTCAGGAGACACCTAACAGGAAATGTTATAACTGTACAAAGACAAGACAGATGTGCCTGTTACTTATTAAGTGAAAACCCACCCTGACTTAATGTGTACAGTAGGATTTAATGTTCGTTTCTTACTTCGTAAACAAGAAGTCTTTAGTTGAGGTTGTCCACTAAGTAGAATCATGTTATTTCTGTATTCAAATTATTCATAAATGATTAAAATGAATTTACTTCATTTGCATACTTCAGTTTTATCAGCAGTGTGTACATTAATTTTTTGGCATTATTTTAACATGTAAGATATTAAATAGATCTGTTTTGAAGGTAAGTGCATGAAATGAATAATCAAGTATAAAATTGATAATAAATTATGTTTGTGTTGAGTCATTTTATTTTGCTTCTTGGGATCTGTGTTTACCTGCTTTAGTCTGTGAGAATCTATGATAATGATCATAACAGCCAACGCAGAGGAGACACTGTGAATAGTTTTCATATTTTAGGTGTATTTACATGTGACTCAGTATTTTTTCCTCTACTTTGTTAGGACAAGGTAATTATTTTATAGGCAAACATAATACTGCATTGAAAGGTTTCCTTTTCACTATGAAATCTCCTTTGACCTCTGAAACATCTGTCATCTGCATTACCAGAACACAGAAGCCTACTTGATCAGATATTTTTGTTAATTTTTACCTTGATTTGGAATCATTTTTCTACCTTTGTACATTCTCTACCTTATCTTGATATTTTGCATTGTATCTTTTGCATTTCTTCAGCGACTAGAAATGTGTCTGCTTGAACAAAAACTCTGAAATTGTCACTGAATGGGCCAGCTGGTTTGTGATCATTAGACAGAATAACATGTTGTTACAGTCACAGAATAAATAATAATGTCTATTCAACAAAGAGATTGTTGTCTTTCCAATCAGGCCTAATTTTCAGTCTAAATAGAACTCGTCCTGAAAATCAGTACTGAAGAAGGACCTGAATTTATTAATAATTCTCTCTTCCACTTTTTTTTTTCAATTCCTAGCTTCTATTATGTTTTACTTTTTTACTTTGAAGGTATGACTGTATTTGGGTTTCAGAATTTCTTTCTAAATATATAGATTGTCTTAGACATAAAGTACATGAGGTGACATTGTTACAATATGTTACCTATCTAAAAATGTATATGCTTAAAATATCTCACAATTATAGTTGACTTTATAAAGATGTAGAAGTAATAGTGTATGTTTCTTTTTAATTTGTAAGTTATATGGATTCCTTGCTGTTCCTCATCTGTGCTTATCAGAATAACAAGGAACTGTTATCCAAAGGCCCGTACAGAGGACATGATGAAGAACTGGTGTCGCATTACAGAAGAGAATGTTTGCTAGTAAGTCAACACATATAAGACACGTTTGTTATTTGGCCTTGCTTTCGGAAGGGTTTTCCAGTGCATCTAATGATTTACTACTCATTCTGATGGGTATAAATTGGATATATAACCTGGAGACGGTAAACACCTTTATCTCCTCTTCATAGACATGAGTGCTGCCAATGGTAAACCAGAAATTTTCGCAAGAAGGGATAATTTTCTTTACATTTTTACATTCATGTTTCTTAATCACATTAACATTCACTTTTTTATGGGAGAAAAGTTGCAAAGATCATTTAGAGACATTCTTGAAAACAAATCACAGAGTTTTCTGAGGTTTAATAAATGGTATTATACTTGATTTGTGTGATGTCAGAGGAGTTGCTATCACATACTCTCGTTCTTTGGACCTGGTGGTATAATAGTTTCTTTCCTCAGATGTTTTCAGGATTTGATCAAATACCACCATTGTTAATATGCCTGAAAAATTATTTTTAACAGTATTTTGTGACCATTACCTCTAGCTGCCTAGATAACTTTATTCATGTTCCTTGAATGAGCTGCCCTCTTGATTTAAATCACAAATTCCATTTTATTAATTTTTATTGTATTTTATTCTCAGGTATCTTAGCATCACTATCTCTGTATTTTAACTTCTAATTTTTTTCTAGCTAAAAATATAGAGAAAAACAATGATATTCACAAATATTTCTTGAACTTACATGGTTTAAGGACACTTAACCTAGATGATAGTGTTGGTGAAATATTTAGTTTCAGTAGAACTACACCGTGTGCACTAATTTTGGTGCAGGATATGTTTAAAATGTTTGAAGGAGAACATCAGAAGTTTGTGATTTCTCCCTTTTTCTCTTAGCTGATTTTACTTCATTTGAATGCATTTTAAGAATTAAATTGCTGATGGTTTGTACTCATTCAGTGTCGCTGTCCCGCAGCGATGGACTTGGTACACAGAGCTGATAATATTCCACCAAGTGTCCTCATTCACATGCTGTCCATTCAACATGTTCTCATACAAATGATATCCAATCAGTTATATAAAAGGTATCCATTTGGTCATTCTCATACAAATATTATCCAATCACTTGTAATCCTGTGCTCGCTGACCTTCCAGGATCATAATTACAATTCAGTATATTATTATTAATTTTACCAGTTTCAAAGGTTTCTCAGTCTGCCTCCCAAGAAAAACACCTGAATGATATGTAATTCATCCTAACAAATAGAGACAACGTCACACTTGAAAGTGTGACAACAATCGTTATTCTACTGAAAACACTGGATTCTTTGTGAAAATATTTTAGTAAAATTGATTTTAAATACAGCCCAGCCTTTATGTTTGATTGGTAACATGTTCAGAAACGGTAGAATGTTTCCCTTACTGTTCCCAGATGTATTAATAAGAAACCAAATTGGAAGCCTGCCGCAGCTGGCATTCTGGGAAGCAAGCATCTCAAGCTGTGCCATCCAACCCACATGGAGGAATTTTTAAGCGAAACCCCTAGGGTATAATTTTTCTATATTCCTTTCGTATTATTCATGTGTTTATTTCCTGAATACCAGCTTCCGAGGCATATTTTCTTGTCCAAAAGAACTCCATCTTGTGAAGGACGTACACACATAATTTGTTTTGGTGTAAGATCTTTAGCACTAAGTACACAAAATAGGATAAACGCTAATTTGCCTCTGCATGAATAAATTGGGAAAGAATAAGAAAATTCTAGCTGAAGGGACACCGTGTGTAAAGAACTCGCTATAATACAGCCAACACCGTGTGTAAAGAACTGTAGTTGAACTTGTGGTGACTCTGTTATGAATGAGTGAAATTATCATAGTTGACACATGTTGTAAGACTGTCAGGAAGCATATCCGCCATGATAGTGAGTCCATGCCAGTGTGTGATCTCTTTTGTTGTGTTTTTTAACAAAATAATTCTGGCAGTGCTATAAGAGAAAATGGAATGGAAAAAAAGAGATTGAAGTCAAAAGCTTTTTTTTTTTTTTATTAATTGTACTGCATTATGTGACACAGTGTTATGGGCACTGGGATTCCTCCCCTCTCCATCCCTGAACCCTCTCCCCATGGTGGATTTCACCACCTTGTTGCATTACCACAGTTCAAATTCAGTTGTGGTTCTTTCATTGGAAATATTTACCAAGTATAAAGTCCAGTGTCTTATTATCTTAGTGGGTTCGGCGATTTCTTGGTGAGACCATCTCTGGTCTGAAGGTAAGTGCAGCTAAGCTTCATCCCGAAAGATTAAAGGCCCCGACATGCCCTCAACAGCCATTTACAACCTCATAGCATCAATTGACATGACATTGATTAATAGTATGTTGATGGGAAGATGTGGTTTCTTAACTACATCCTGTGGAAGTCAAAAGCTTTTAAAGAGATTAACATGGAGGAAGTGGGGAGAGAACCTCATTAAGGTGGAAGTACAATGAAATGAAGGTATAGAATATGGTAAAGGAAAATGAAGGACACTATTATTATATGAATAAGATTCTGTCGTTTACATTTCAGACTCTCAAGGACAGTGTTGAATTAAACAATGTATTTAAGATCTAGTTAGGACATCTTTGCCATGAACGTTCATAATAAGTTTATTTAAATATATATGGCTCAGTGGTAGACAATATCTTTTTAAGTTATCCTTAGGGTATGAAAAGGAGATAATACTGTTTTTGTTTTTATATAAATATCTGCAACTAAGTGATTGAACTAAGTTATTCAAGATTGAATAATAACTTAATGGTCTGGTTGGACTTTTGGTACAAGCTTCTTTTCAAAGGCAAAATGAATTTCCTAAGATTTGTACAATTTAATAGTTAAATTTTTGCATTCAAAATTCAGCTTTAAAAATGATACTTATTCAACAAACATACGATTTCAAGTATGGACACTTAAATATTATAACTTATTATAAATCTGTTTTGTTAGTCACGTGTGTGTGTGTGTGAGTGTGTATTTTGTCTCATTGACTTCTCTGTTTTACAAATTAAGGGCAGCACTCTATGACTTCAATTTCAGTCTACCACTTGTTTTTATAAATAAATAAAACTGTTGAAATGCAAGCATGTCCCTTACATATAACTTAGCTGTGTTTTTTTGCAACAAATGGCAGAGTTGAATATTTGCAATAAACTATGTGGTCCTTGAGCCCTGAAATATTTCTGTCAGGCCCCTTATAGAAAAGATTACCCCTCCTTATACACAATTATAAGCTCCACGAGAGTTTTCTCTATGACTCACTTGGGTACCTTCTTCTGGAACAGTTTCTGGTACGTGGATTATAGTCAGTAAGAATTGGTTGTAAGTAATAAGTGAATTGATAATCTGTTTATTTTTCTATCAAAGAATAACAACTGCCTTCTGGAGATGTGATTCTGGATTGCGAATTTATTTTAAAATCATTTTGCCTGCGACGACTATAAATGGGCTATGGCTTGTGTTCAGGTCACTCCCCTTCCAAACCAGCTTCCATCTCATAAGCCTGGGAAAGCAGCAGATATCTTCGATGCCTGAGCCCCTGCACCGTGTGGGAGACACGGAGGCTCCTAGCTCCTGACTGGGTTCTGGCCCAGCATCATCTATGATAGCCATTTTGGAGTAAACATGTGGATGGAAGATCTTTGTCTCTTCCACTCTCTCCGTAACTCTGTCTTGCAAGTAAATAGAATGAAATCTTGAATACATGGAAAATTTTGGCTTGTAAAATTTCAAAATTGAAGGAAGTCAGTCTCTGGACTAAAATGCCCATCCCTTCTAGTGAGATAATCAAAGCATTTATAGTTGGACATAAACTTCAAAAGCACAATATTTTCATCAATTTTGGTTTTTGTTTCTGTGATTAAATGCAATTTTTAAAAAGAGCTTTGACTGCTAGATTGCGGTAGTTTTTACTGATGATGACTTGGTATTCTTTGTGAGCTCATATTGTTTTCAGTAATAAGACTTACAGGTGTGTTATGTAATTACAAAAGGAAACAAAAACATTCTTTTTCTCGTTACATTAAGAAATTAAATGAGCAGGCTGCAGAACTGTTTGAATCCGGAGAGGATCGAGAAGTCAACAATGGCCTAACCATCATGAATGAGTTCATTGTCCCATTTCTGCCCTTGTTACTGATCGATGAAATGGAAGAGAAGGACATCCTTGCTGTGGAAGATATGAGGAACCGATGGTGTTCCTACCTTGGACAGGAAATGGAATGTAAGTTTCAAGCATGCCAGTGGGCACTGGATTTGCTGGTATTGAAAGCAGTGAAAACTAAATGCTAGCTATTTTTGATTTTTATCATTTTTGTCTTCTGTAATATTTTTACATTTCTAATTTACCAAACTGAGCACATTAATGTTGCCCTTCATATATTCACCTAGTCCCTTCAGGGAAGTTATTTTCTTTGTTTGAAAGGAAATATCAACTAACCGTGGCGGGTTAGTAAAGCTTATTGAAGACACTCATCAGATAATTTCTGACTTCGGTTACATCTAGTCATTTGTATTTACAGCAAACCTCCAAGAAAAGCTGACAGATTTTCTGCCCAAACTGCTTGACTGTTCAACGGAAATTAAGGGTTTCCACGAACCGCCGAAGTTACCTGCTTATTCCACGCATGAACTCTGTGAACGATTTGCCCGAATCATGTTGTCCCTCAGTCGAACTCCTGCTGATGGAAGATAAACTGCACACTTTCCTTAAATACACTGTACAAACTTTTTTAGTTCTTAACCCTTGCCTTCCTGTCACAGGGTTTGCTTGTTGCTGCTATAGTTTTTGACTTTTTTTAATTTTAATAACTGCAAGAGACAAAATGAATATACAGACTTCTAGCCAGATGACAGATAATAAAGCTGGGAATCGCATGGCATTCAGACTTTGTTTTAACCACAATTGGTGTGTAATTACAAAATCATTGATTTTAATAAGGTAAAACTACGCTTTTGCCACCTTCTGGTACAGTGTTACATTGCTTTTATCTTTTTCTTTTATTTATTTTTTTTATAAAATTTTATTTTGACAATCTTTACATAGTTAATTAGGGAAAGGGGGTATTAAGGGAGAAGGCCCACCCAATTTCCCACCCTCCCCAGGTCTCGGATGTAGGGCATACTCTGAGGTTCTTGCTCAAGTGGTTTTGATATTGCAACAGTTAAGAATTGCTGTCAATCTTGCCACTCCAAGCACTATGAGGTCTTTGAAAAATCCACTGATTGACATAGTCCATCATAGCTGAGATGGTTGGTTGACCTGTTCTGTCTTCTCTCTTTTCTTCGTTAGGGTTCTGAGTCCAGCATTTAGATTAGGAAGACCTCCAAAAAAGCTTCTTGTATGTGCTAACAAGTACAGGGCCTGGCACCATCCATCGCCCCAATCAGCTGGTGGTTGCAATTGCTGGGTTGGTTCTGTTTTCACTCCCGACTTCCACTGGAACCAATGGGTGTTGCAGTCCAGCCTGGTTCTGCCCAGCACATACTTGGCCCTCACATAAACCAGTGGGAGCTGCAGCCTAGTTGGAGCAACCCACAATAACCCCCACCAGGCCCACCCCCTACCCTGGTTTGCCAGTAAGTGTAGCAGTAATCCAGTCTGTTCCACATCCCATTCCACCCCAGCCGCTATCTTTCTTTTATGTCCTGTGGAATTGGTAACCCAAGAGGGATGAGCCCACTATTTCCCTCCCAGGCCTCTCCCACTCCCAGATTCCAGCTGATGCTGTGGCTAAGCCCAAACAACCCTCGCCCACTTTAATTTTGTTTGCAGCAGTAGGAATAATCCGCCCAGCCCGGCTTTTCCCTGATCTAGTCCACATGAGGTGCACAGGTGTGGTAGCCCTGCTTAGTCTGGTCTGCCCCCATCCCAGCCTATGCTCTCCTGCGGAAGTAGCTGTCCAGCAAAGGAACCCTCCTTTATTCCCCTGCCAGCTCTGCCCACTTCCTTTCTTGTTCTCAGGCTGGTTGGGCGCTGCGGTCCCTTCCGGTACAGGCAACCTCACCTCAGCATTCCGTATTGTGCACTAGTCTTTGTTGCGACCGAACCTGGTTTGACCCACACTGGTGCCTGGATTTGCCAGTGGATGACGTGGACAGATTCAGCCTGGTCTCACCCCATGTCTGCCAATTGTATGCCAGTGTGTAGCTTTCCATGGCTTTTTCTGGGCTGTTTCCTATCATGTTTCTTGCGCTTACCTGTCGGGTCTGTGTCCTGCCAGAGGAGTTGCCCAGGCTCCTCCATCAGAACCTCTCCCAACGCCAGGTTTCACGCTTACCAGTGGGTCCATGAGCCAACCCTATTCAGTCCTCCTCCTGTCATAGCAGGAACAGTGGCTTTTCCTGACTGGCCTTCAACCCAATCTGGTTCTTGCTGTTGGATGTTTCAGCCCAGCCATGGTTTGTCCGTACCCACATATGGCTCAGTAGGAGTTTGAGACCTTGCCTAGTCCATCGCACATCTGCCCTGGTCCTCCAGGACACCACTGGGTGTTGGGGTCCGGCCCAGTTCGGTGCATCCAATCCCAGTCCACACTTGTGCCAAGGGAGACTACAACTGTTTCCAGATCAGAACGCAGCCCCCCCTTCCAGGCCATGCGCCTCTTGGTGGGAACCTCAGCCCAGCTAGTGTTGTCCCCTTTGCTCCCCAACCGGGTCTGTTCCCAGCCATAGATCACTTGCCTGTCAGTGGATGCCCTGACTCAGCTTGGCCCAGCCCCTCCCCTGTCCCAAACTCTGCCTTAGACACTGTGGCTTAGAGTCCCTGGCTCGCGCAGACCAGTAGGCACAAGAGCCTTGCTCGGCATGACCTCTGCTCCCTCCTGGTTTCTAGTTTTACTTGTGGGCTAAGGTTTGCTCAGTTGTGCCTGATCTACTCTGTTCCATTACCAGTTGACACATTAGCCAGCTGTTGGAGCTCCAACAGCTCCAAGCCATAGCTTCTGCATGGACTGGTATTTGGTGCTCAGCATTATTAGTGATTACAAGTTTTAGAAAGGAAGAGTTACTGCCTGTTTCAGGTCCAAGAAGCACAATGGGTTCAACCTGGAGCTAATTAAGCAGCGACTCAAAGAACCAAATCCCCAGAGCTCCCTGGCCGGGCGACCAGCAGGCAGAGCCTGGCACCAAATGGCGCACTGGCACCCCGGGAAAAGCTCACCATGTGCCCATGGCGGCTGTCTGGGATCCAGGCATGAGACGCCCCGTCCTGAGACCCACCCTTATCTTTTCTTTATCAAAGGCTTTTCATTCAGTCTGGATACTTCCATGTTACAGCCATCTATGTGTTCCGCACTGTGTATGATTCTTCATATTTGGTAGCTTGTAAATGAAGTTAAAGAATAAAGTTTTATTTATGGCTACCTACATGTTTGTAAGCAGGTATATTGTATAATAATGTTTTATTTTAGCCGTAATATAGAAATGAATTTTGTCTGGGGATTAAGATTGGGTGATTTAATTTTGCTCTAAGGAAGTTTACTGAGTGACACTTAAATATATGCATATATACATATATATGCATATATATATATATGGGTTTTTCCCCCACTAAGTTATTAAACTTACGTGGCACTTAGACCTGTTTTGAATTCAATAAGATGTCATGAAGTGAGCGTGTGATTTTTAGTCAAACTACACTGTAACTTTTAGCTTTTCTTAGATTGACCCTTTTTTTAATGTATTCAAAAATAATATAGCAAAGTGATTCAAGTAAAACCTGAAAAAAGTACTTGAATAACAGCTTTTTAATTCTGAAAGTTAAGAGATATGTATATACACAAATGCATACACACATATATTATTCTTCATAATGGAGGACAGTGTTTTGCATTATATAATCATTCTATTTTTGTAAATTGTATACCACTTTAATTGAAAATGTTAATTACTGATCAGTGCTATGAAATGAAGTTGATGTTCAATTAGAAATTATGAGTATCTTAATGCTTTTATTTTTCACAAAGGAAACAGCTGTAGTACACTTTGTAGATGAAAATTGCTGTTAAATGAAATAATATTGTGATTGAAAATCAAAACCAAATGATGTTACCAAAATCTTATTTTTGATTTATAAAAACTTCTTCATAAATGATGCTTTGTTAGCATAGTAAAATATATTCTGTGTATTTGTGTTACAGCGTCGCCAAAACATCATGCTCTTTCTTAGTGCCTCTCACAAAATTCCAGGATGGGATAGGAACAAAACATACCTGTTGAATCATGCTCTTTATAAAGGCATTGATGTACTGCTAAGATATTTGTGAAGAAGACTTTGTCATTTTCCTCTTACAAAATTAGAGCTTTCATATTTTAGCCATCCAGATGTGTTTAGGTTTAGATTTTAATGTCTGTTCTGGAAAGAATTTTGCAAGGCATTTCAATTTCTGTTTAAAGTTTAGAAATATCATATGTATCATTACAGCTTTTGTAAAATAACCTCGCTATTTTATGGTGTTTTGCCATAACAGTAAAATCTTGTTGTCTGTATAATTGACTGCTGAGACAATGTATTCAGATATAAGGTAGAATTATTCCCTTTAAAGGCACATCTTGGGAATTATGTGGTTTTAGTGTTAAAGGTATGTATTATTATTGAAAAGCCAAGATGTTCTGAAATAACTCACTTGAAGAAGTAACCTTTTCAGTACCCAAGGAAGCAACTCATTTTTTATGTTGGCTTTTTTTTCCTCCATATTTTATCTTTACTTTTATTGTACAATTCCTCAGACTCTGGGATTTCCCCCACTCCTGCCCAATACTCCCTCCCCAGAGCTTTTATATTGGCTTTAAAAAAAGAGATTTTTATTTTTATCAGAAAATCATATATACAGAGAGGAGAGACAGAAAGGAAGAACTTCTGTCCGCTGATTCACTCCCCAAGTGGCCACAATGGCCAGAGCTGCCCTGATCTGAAACTAGGAGCCAGGATCCTCTTCTGGGTCTCCCATGCGGGTGCAGGATCCCAAGACCTTGGGCCGTCCTCAACTGCTTTCCCAGGCCACAGGTAGGGAGCTGGATGGGAAGCAGGGTCACCTGGTTTAGATTTGGCACCCATATGGAATCCCGGCACATGCAAGACAAGGATTTTAGCCAAAGGCTACATTGGCTTTTAAAGTAGAGTTGAGACTGAGTGAAATGTTTTAAAAGATTATTTGAGTTACATATAATTTATGGTTATTAATTAATTAGAACTAATGTTCATGTCAGGTTTCAATTTATTTTCAGTCTCTCGTGTTTGTATTACCATAGTATGGCCTGAGGATCTTATCTAAAATACTTAGGACAAAAAAAGTGGGATGATTTATTATTATTTTTAATTCTGGGAGATTTGGATTTTAATAATGTTGTCTTGAGTAGGGGACCCAAGTATTAACAATGAAATCATTTGTTTCTAATTCACCTTACATATGTGATTTGAAGGTAATTTTAAACAGTATTTTCATAGTGCTTGAACCAAGGTATCAAGAGGTGGACTTTTCCACCACAGTAATCATATTGTTGCTCAGAAAGTTTCAGATGTGGGAGTATTCTGTGTTTTTAGAATATGAATAGTCAAACTACATTCCTTTTCTCCTCGATTCTCAGTCCCAACTCTGTTTACATTTTTTTTTTTTTTTTTTTTTTTTGTGGTTTGAAATCAAATAGATCCAGCATGAGATCTCAGGGAGCTTATTGTCAGGAAAGCTTTGGGTAACCCAGTAGCCTTGCACCTTGCGTGGACTTGGGGGGCCCTTCTCATTTTTCCTAGATTCATTAAAATACAGTGGTTCTCACACAATAGCAAATCGTTCTTTAAGTGTGGTCTCCAAAGCAGCTGCTCCAGCAGCATCTGGGAACATATAGAATAGAGAAATGCTGAGCCTCTCTGCAGAACTACTCA